GGGAAATTGAAAAAGTGATAGAAAAAGTATGTAAGGCATTATTAATGCCAGACAAAATATAATTTTAGGCCAAAAGCATTTTTAGAGATAGATAAATGTTCCTCCAACTGATACAACAATCATTAATTAGTACTAACAATCTACTCTCCAGATAAAATAGAAAATTTGTAGTGATAAAATTTTTTCAGACTTCTATGAAAATGATCAAACATAAAACTATTGTTAAGAATAGAAAAATCAAGTTTGCGCTTATAAATAAATAGGCTATGTGCTCTTTTCCAACATGGAACGTGTAAAAATTGCCCATGTTTTAGGCCACAAAAAGTCTTTAAAACAAACTCCTTTGCCCTAGCCATTTTGGCCCATTGGATAGAGCGTCAGCCAGTACCATACATGCTGGCTAGATTCCGGTCAGGGGCTCGGGGCTCGTGCCTTGGTTTTGACCTCTGGGTGTGTGTGGGGGGGGGCGGGGGGGGCGGGGGGGGTGTAGCAGGGCGCCCGGAGTTGGAGGCAACCAATCGATGTGACTGTCTCACATTGTTGTTTCTCTCTGTCTCTTCCCCTCCCAGTATCTCTAAAAATCAATGGAAAAAATATCCTCTCATGAGGATTAATTTTTTAAAAATCACACAAAACTACTTAATCAGATGGACTGCATTCTCTGATCTCTATTGCTTTAAAAGTACAAATCAACAATAAAACATTTTTTTTAAAATTCCATACACCTAGGAAATTAAAAATACTTTTACACAATTTGTGGGTTAAAGAGGCAATCATAGTAAAAATTACGAAGTGGAAATTATCACAAAAACTACACATCAAAACTTGGGTGAGAGGAGGATACAACTAAAGTGGTCCACAGAAGGAAAATTTTATGTGTATATACATGAGAGTAAATTAAGCTAATAATAGAACAACAACAAAAAAGGAAATAAAGATAAAAGCAAAACTTAATAGAGTAAAAAGCAGTATCATAAAAATAAGGATAAAAAGGAAAAAATAGTTGTGAAAAGCAAAATTAAAAGCTAAGTTTTAAAAACGACTGAAATAGATTAAATAAGCCAGACTTCAAAATGAGGAAAGGCATAGGTAAATCATAGACACTTAAAGGGAGTTAGGACTATTTGGTAAGATAGAGAGCTTTAAAATTTGCAAGCCAATCATATGAACAAGCAATAAATTTGAGTACTTAGATGAAATTAATACTGTTAAATAAGTTAAAAATTATCAAAATTGACTCAGAATAGGAACCCTTGCATTGGCCATTGTGTCCAAGTGGTTAAAGCGTCAGCTCATGCACCAAAGGGTTGTGGGTTTGATTTTCGTCAAGGACATGTACCTGGGTTGCATGCCCCGGGAGCGTGGGGGAGGTAACCAATTGATGTATCTCACATCTCTCTCTTCCTCTCCTTCTCTCTCACTCCCCCGCTCCCCTCCACTCTCTAAAAATCAATGGAAAAAATATCCTTGGGTGAGGATTAAAAAGAAAAAAAAAGAATAGGAACCCTCAATAGAACAATAACCATATTACAAATTAAATCAGTAGTTTTAAATCAGCCATCCAGTGGAGGTAAGAGGCCAAATGTTCAAGGACTACATAATCCCTATATTATTGTAGCTGTTCCCAAGAACAGAGAAACATGTTAAACTGCACAATATGTAAGTTTATAGCCTTAGAAAATAATTTTCTGTGTTTATAAAGGAAAATCATAATGTATATCCTGAAATTTTATTGATCTTGAACAAAAATTGGCTGTACTAATAAACCCCACATTCATAAGTAATATATACAAATTTGATTCCTATTTTAAAAGGATTTATTGGTCAGATATTTTGGTACAAATGATATATGTGGGACATGCATTATTAATTTTAGGACATGAAATATTAATACATTTTAAAGTTTCAGTATTGTTTTACCAGCCAGTTTCTCAAACATAATTATATTGTTCAAAACCAAAGAAATGGCCCTAGCGGTTTGGCTCAGTGGATAGATTGTCGGCCTGCAGACTGAAGGGGTTTGATTCCCGTCAAGGGCATGTACCATGGTTGCAGGTTCCTACCTGGCCCCAGCCAGGTCAGGCCCCATGCAGGAAGCAACCAATTGATGTGAGACACATCGATGTTTCTTTCTGTCTTTCCCTCTCTCTTCCACTCTCTCTAAAAATCAATAGAAAAATATCCTCAGGTGAGGATTAAAAAAACAAAGGAAATTATATTTATAGGGAGTAAAATAAAATAGGCAGTTTTCATACTGTTCATTTCAGAAATTTTTGTTAGTATGTTGAATTTTGAAATTTGATTTGATCTTGGGACAAGTACTTTCTGATTTCTTTTATCAGCTATGGTAATTTATAAGTATATAGAATTAGTTAATTAAAAATTTAAAGCAGGGCAAAATCTTTGGCTTTGTGATCCAGTAATGTTGTTGGATGTCACTGTCAGGTATAAGAGATAAGAAAGAAAGAAAAAGGAAAAGTGACTTTATTGCCCACCCATGTTTTAGTAATAATGTAGATAATATAGATAATGACCATCTTACTCTAAGTTTAACTACTACTCTAAATTTCCTGTTAAATTAACTTTTCTTTCTCTTATTTACTTAGAAAATTAAAACTTCAAACCTCAGTACTATGAAAGGGAAGATTTAAGAGGTCAGTTATGCTAAGGTTCCTTCTTGGTAAACAGTATTCAGGCCCTTCATTGTTTTAGATGTTAGGTTTATAATGGTAAACAAAAATGGATGCAATTGCTGTTCTCATGGAGCCTACATTTTAGCAGCAGAGACATGTTAGCCAAATGGTTGCACAAACTAATATATGATTGGAACTTTTGAAGGAGCGGTTCATAGAGCTATAAGTCAAGAAGTTCAGGGAGGTCTTCCTTGAGGAAATGATTATTGACTTGATGTAAAGGATGAAAAAGAACTCATAGACAAATACTATAGGGAAAAGAGAACAGCTTGAGCAAAAAGCCCCTGAGGCAAGAGGGGAAATAAGTTGCTAAAGGAGTAATTTATTTCCAGTGTATTATTAGTTATGATATTTCAGAAATAAGTCAGATGAAAAATTGGACAAACAACTTTCTAGTTCATTCTGAGTAAGATTTTCACAGTGTATATTCTGTTTTGTTTGAAGTTGCCAGAATCTTATATTTACCTATATTTGACTTTAGGTTTAAAATACATTCTAAAGCCAAATGTGTTGGCATTATCTGTACCTTAGAGTTAAAGGTTGTTGTGTAATCAATATACAGGGTGGGGTAAAGTAGGTTTACAATCGTCCATACGGAAAATAATACAATAATTAATAAATAATAATACAAGAATAAACTCTGTTTCGCATACTCACAATTGTAAGCCTACTTTTGCCTCACCATATACATAATAATTAAAAGTTAAAGCATAAACTGATTTTTATAGTAGGTTGAAAGATTCTACACCAAGATTTTTTAAAATCTGCCCTGTCTGGTTTGGCTCAGTGGGTGGAGCGTTGGCCTGCGGACTGGAGGGTCCCAGGTTTGATTCCGGTCAAGGGCATGTACCTTGGTTGCGGGCACAACCCCAGTACGGGGTGTGCAGGAGGCAGCTGATCGATGTCTCTCTCTCATCGATGTTTCTGGCTCTCTATCCCTCTCCCTTCCTCTCTGTAAAAAATCAATAAAATATATTTTTTTTAAAAAGATTTTTTAAAATCTATTTTAGAGTGCAGTTCCTGTCACCACAGGCCAATGTAATGTTTCCGTTGGGTTGACAATCTACTCTTATTTTTCTTTTTTAAAATATATTTGTATTGATTTCAGAGGGGAAGGGAGCGGAAGAGAGATAGATAGAAACATCAATGATGAGAGAGAATCATTGATCGGCTGCCTCTTGCGTGCCCCACACTGGGGATCAATCCCGCAATCTGGGCATGTGCCCTGACCAGAAATTGAACCATGATCTGGTTCATGGGTCAACACTCAACCACTGAGCCGCGTGGCTGGGCTCCACTCTTATTTTTCATTATTAGTTTGCCTGAGTTGTAGATCAGATAGTTATGTAAGTAGATTAAATTCTATCTTTTTGGCAAAGCAAACAATTTTTTAAATTTACTATGTATTAGGTAGCTAAAGGATTCTCAATTAGAACAGAGCTGACATAAAGCTTGATTAATCACTGTTCTTTATCAAGTATTTCTTAGTTACAAAAGAAGACCAGAATAACAGAAATTACTGTTTGCACACAGTGAAAAAGTAGATAGGTAAGAGAACTTTTCATAGAAGTGATGTTATCAGCTACATTTTAATATTTAGATGAGTGAATAAGAGTTCACAGATCTACCAGCAGATAGTGCTACTTACCATACAGGTATAATCCTTGTAGTGTCATTTGATATTAGGATGGTTGGAAGCTGTTTAGTCATGCATTCCTCTTGCTGGCAAACTTCCTAGAATAACAGTCCTTATTATATGATAAAAGTGTTTCTTTTGCCTTTGATACTCAAATATTTAATTTCTACTCTTAAGAAATATCTGCTCATGGTATATTTTTTGTTTTCTTTTTCCCTTTATTCCTGAAATAACAGTATTTTTCTTCAGGGATTGGTTTCTATCCTATGATAGAGTTCTTACTGAATTCTGATATAAGATCAAGATCCTCCTAATCACCTCACAATACTAAGGCTCCTTTATCACAGTTCAGATGAATAGTTTGGAAAATATCTTTTTAATCTTAGGATTAGGAAAATGCAGAGATTTCTCTTTGGGGCTCAAACTAAACATAAATATTATCTTTAATGGTTATAGTTTGGTATACAAAACTGAACTTGACCTTAAAAGGTTACACCACCTAGTGTGGACTGAAATTAATCCTATATTTTGGAGGAATTGAGGTAGGTTGTATAAGTGACTACATGGAGTAAGTATTAAATCTTCATTATGTCTAATGTCATTGATATTAAGTATTTAAAATAGATGCTTAATGAGTTATTATTGATGGATTATTTTTGTTTCTTTAATAGGAACATGAATCTGAAGGTGGAAGAACACCTTTGATGAAAGCTGCAAGAGCTGGCCATTTGTGCACTGTGCAGTTTCTTATTAGCAAAGGTAAAGAAAGTACAAGTGATCATTTCCAAGAGGCTACAATTTCTGGGGGTAAAAAATCCTAAACTTGCAATTTATATTAAAGCTACTTTGCCTATAGCATAAGTACTATATTCTAGTCCTGTGTTGCTATATTTTTTTGGTAATCATAGAGTTCGTGGGATACTTACTGAAATCTTTATTAGTTTTGAGTTTGAAGTTTTTGTCAACCAAATAGGTGGTTACTCCCAAAAGTTGGAAAAGCCAAATGTAAATGTCGGTATATTTAGTAGATATTGTTCACCACTTAATGATTATAAGGCCAGTTCTGCTGGGAATACGGGGAGGTAGAAGGGGGGAAGTGTGCTACTGTTGTTTATGGGACAGTTAAATTAATCAAGTATACAAAGGTATTATTTATTATTATTGTATTTATTTGATTATATTTAAGCAAAGAAGTTCAAATGATGCATGACGAGGTAGTTCAATACTGTTTACTGTAGAAAAGTGAAACACTTCTGAACTCATGTTAGGTTGAACCATATAAAATTGTCATTTTATACATCAAAAAATGGTGTATAATATCAGCAGTTTCATTTGGTTCAGTCTAACTTTGTGTATTATAGTGTTAGAGGTACTTGGGCATCTGATGAAAAACTCTAGGATAGGACGGCAAAATGCAAGGAAGGTCCACTCAGGTGATGCCATATTATTAAAATAAAAATTTTCTATCTCTATTCCAATAAAACTCATATTTTGTGCCATTAAGAATGCAGTATAATATTTTATTATTTTAAAGATAAAATATTTCTTTAATTAGATAAAACAAGGTTTATTTTCTTTATATCACATTTTTGCTACCAAGTAAGGCCTATCTTTTTCTTTTTCTATTTTTATTTATTGATTCTAGAAGGAGAGAAAGAAACATCAATTTTTTGTTTCACTTATTTGTACAGTCATTGGTTGATTCTTATGTGTCCTGACCAGAGATTAAACCCACAACCTTGGCATAGTAGGACAATGCTCTAACCAACTGAGCTACTTGGCCAGGGCTAAGACCTATCTATAATAATAAAAGCATAATATGCTAATTAGACCGGACATCCTTCCAGACAACCTTCCAGACGAAGTCGGGGCTGTGAGGGACGCCCAGGTCCCTGGTGCCTGCCAGCGGCCAGAGGGAAGCCCGGGGCCCAGGTGCCAGAGGGAAGCCCGGGTCACAGGTGCCAGAAGGAAGCCGGTGCCGGCAGCTGGAGGAAGGAAGGCCTACTCTTTCATGAATTTCATGCATCGGGCCTCTAGTCTATATACACTGAGTGGCCAGATTATTATGACCATCTGACGTTTGTAGGCAAATTAGCTATAATTTTGTGCTGAAGTTGCTAGAGGGCCAGACCATTATAAATAGGGAAGCAAGTTGTTTACCATGACAGTAGAAGTGATTTTTTTCTGAAGATATGGGTAAACAACGCGATTTAACAGCATTTGAACGTGGGATATATATATATATATTTGCCTACAAATGTCAGGTCATAATAATCTGGCCACTCAGTGTATACAAAAAGCCAGCGACAAGAATACAGTAATGACTGGAATGACCGGTTGCTATGACACCAACTGCGGCCAGCGAACCGGTCGATCAGGGGTGGGGCCAGCTGGCCCGCCCCTGATGGTCCCCCACCACCCAATTGGCCCACAGCCCCTCCCCCCAGCCAGCCCCGCCCCCAATGTGCCCCTATTGGCCCACAGCCCCTCCCCCCAGCCGGCCCTGCCCCTGATTGCCCCCCTACCCCAATAGCGGGTGGGGCCGGCATGCCAACCTACTGCAGCACCTCCCCCCTGCTGGCCCCACCCCCAGTGGACCCCCACCACACTAATCGGGGGCAGGGCTGGCTGGCCAACCTCCCATGGCTCCTCCCCCCACCACTGATCCCCATTCAGTCCCCCCACCCCAAGTGGGGGCAGGGCCTGCCAGCCAATCACCCGTGGCCCTCCCCCCAGCCAGCCGGTCCCTGATCGGGCCAATCAGGGTGGGCTGGCTGGCCAACATCCTGCTGTCTCCTCCTCCCGACAGGCCCAGCCCCGATCTGCCCCGATTGGGGCCTGGCCAGCCGGACCCCACCCTTGCACAAATTCATGCACTGGGCCTCTAGTCTTTATATAATGCTATAACATACTCTGTAAAAATTATTTACCTCAACCACACATAAGTATAAACAGATGGATAACCTTGGAAGTTCTCACATGCTCCTTTCATACCCAACTACCCTGCTAAGCATATAATTAGGCTTGTCAGGAGTAGGAACGCATTGATTATAGTTTTTCTAGGCTGTAGTAACTACTAAATAGTCTACAATCTAAATGTATTATTAACCTCCTGGCAGGCGTGGCATCAACCTATGAACCATGAGGTCATTGTTGGATTCCTCATCAGGGCACATGCCCATGTTGCAGCTCAGTCCCCAGTTTGGGGTGTGCAGGAGACAGCTGATCAAATGATTCTTTCTCATCATTGATGTTTCTGTCTCTCTCCCTCTCCTTTCCTTTCTAAAATCAATAAAAATATATTTTTTAAAGTAAATAAAATAAATTTATTATTAACAACTTTAAAAATAATCTCATGTTGCTAATGGAGGATGTTTATTGATGTGTCTTGCCTTTCCCAAGGATTAGGTTCAGCTAGATATTTCTGAAAATTAAATAAATTAATAATAGTTTCACCCATAGATTTATTTTTCTCCTCATTAAGTAAGTTTGGAATTAAGGAAGAGGGAAGAATGAATATTGCTATAGTCTTAACTATCTAGGTTAGCCCTCTGGGGTCTGTAAAAGATGATTGAACTTAAATACAGTTCTTTTTTTCCAGAGGCCAAAAACAATTTTTTTTTAATCAAATCTTTATTGTTCAGATTATTACAGTTGTTCCTCTTTTTTCCCCCCATAGTTCCCCTCCACCTGGTTCCCATACCACCCTCTGCCCTTACCCCCCCCCCCCACACTGTCCTCATCCATAGGTGTGCGATTTTTGTCCAGTCTCTTCCTGCACCCCCCACACTCCTTTCCCCTCCAAGAATAGTCCACTCCTTTTCTATGCCTCTGATTCTATTATATTCACCAGTTTATTCTGTTCTTCAGATTATTTATTCACTTGATTTTCAGGTTCACTTGTTGATAGATGAGTATTTGTTGTTCATAATTTGTATCTTTACCTTTTTCTTCTTCCTCTTCTTAAAGGATACCTTTCAGCATTTCATATAATACTGGTTTAGTGGTGATGAACTCCTTTAGCTTTTTCTTATCTGTGAAGCTCTTTATCTGACCTTCAATTCTGAATGATAGCTTTACTGGGTAAAGTAATCTTGGTTGTAGGTTCTTGGTATTCATCACTTTGAATATTTCTTGCCACTCCCTCTGGCCTGCATAGTTTCTGTTGAGAAATCAGCTGACAGTCGTATGGGTACACCCTTGTAGGTAACTAACTGTTTTTCTCTTGCTGCTTTTAAGATTCTCTATTTGTCTTTTGCCCTTGGCATTTTAATTATGATGTGTCTTGGTGTGGTCCTCTTTGAATTCCTTTTGTTTGGGGTTCTTTGTACTTCCTGGACTTGTAAGTCTGTTTCTTTGACCAGGTAGGGGAAGTTTTCTGTCATTATTTCTTCAAATAGGTTTTCAGTATCTTGCTGTCTCTCTTCTTCTGGCACCCCTATAATTCGGATGTTGGTATGCTTGAAGTTTTCCCAAAGGCTCCTTACACTATCTTCATATTTTTGGATTCTTTTTTCTTTTTGTTTTTCCGGTTGGGTGTTTTTTGCTTCTTCGTATTTCAAATCTTTGACTTGATTCTTGTGATCCTCTAGTCTGCTGTTGGAACTCTGTATATTATCTTTATTTCAGTCAGTGTGTGCTTAATTTCTAGTTGGTCCTTTTTCATAACCTCACTAAATTTCTTGATGGTCTCACAAAATTTATCAGCGGTTTCTAGAAAATTTTTGAAAAACCTTATAAGTGTGGTTTTGAACTCTATATCCAGTAGTTTGCTTTCCTCCATTTCTGTCATTTGTGACCTGTTTCTTTGTCTCCGCATTTTTTATGCTTCCCTATGTTGATAGGGCCCAGTGGCTCAGCCTCCCCAATTACCTGAGGTGGACACTCTTGGTGCACCCCTTTGTGGGCTGTGTGCACAGTCTTGTTGTAGTTAAGCCTTAATTGTTGTAGGTATCAGTGAGAGGAATTGACCTCCAGGCCAATTGGCTGTGAGAATCAGCTGTGTCTATGGTGGGAGAACTTCTGTGCTGGAGACACCCTTCTGGGGCAAGACTTGCTTCAGTGGGGCTTTGGTGCTCACTGGGTCTGCCCCCTGAGTGTGTCCCTTATGGATCTGAGGAGTTGTAATCTGGATGGTCCCACTCTGACCACTGTGTACACTGGCTCTTGGATCTCTAAGGAGGTGCTAAGTTAGCCCCTTCCTGAGGCTACCCAGCAGGAGATATGGAGAGATCTGCAGATTCCTCTTCTTTGTTTGGGGTTTGGAGGTGCCCAGATGAGGCCCAGCTGTGAAGCAATGCAAGCTGCTGTGGCGCCTTGGGCCTTCTTTTGGAAGTTCTGGGTCTCTCTGACTCTGCTGCAGTTTGTTAGGTAATTTTCAGATTGCAAAGGGCCAGGCCTTTCATATGCAAAAGCCTCTGCCACAGCTTGGGTGGGGCGGGGTCTCAGGGGATCAACAGGGTGGAGCAAGCAGCTATGGCTGCTCCTCAGTCCTACCCTAAGAGACCCCGCGTCTCAGTGTCCCGGTAATCGCTGCAAGCACCTCTGAGAGAAAGCTGCCCTCGAGTTCCGCCTGCTGCCAGACAGTCCAGTTTCTCCCCATATGAGTCTGGGTCCCCAGAGACTCACCCGGAACTGGAGGTCAGAGCAGTCAGGAGCTTGAGACTCCCTCCTGATTGAAAAAGACAACCATGTCCTCAGTTGCCAGCCCTTTCCACGTGCGCCTCCATACCTCTGCACTTTACTTCCGCACCTCCTCTAAGTCTCAGTGTGCTTTTCTCTTTCCTTCTCGTTGTAGAATTTCCACTCAGCCAGCCTTCCTGTGGTTCTGGATGATGTCCGTTTTGTCTTTTAGTTGTATTTTTGAAGTGGTTGTGTGAGGTAGCAATTTTCAGTGTTTACCTATGCCGCCATCTTGGTTTCTCTCCAAAAACAAAATTTTAAAAACAGGCTGAGAAAAGATTGTGCCTTTAGGTTTGCTTCAGGTCATATTGTACAAAGTTATTGAGCATCTTACTAAATAATCTTTCTGATAATATATTTGGATAATCTTCTCTTCATACCCACATTCCTCTGACTCTTAAAATACACAATATGAAGAATTATATTTTCCTTAAATAGGGTTTTTAAAAATATGTTATTTCTACTTTGAGACCTGGCTATATTGCCATGTTCTAGAAATAGATAAAAAATGTCTTTGAAACATTTTGAAAGTTACATAAAATGGTATTATTTGATGCTATGTTAACCCGTATATATTTATTACTTAGTCTTCTAGATTTTCCATTTTAAAAGTGATATTGAATGAAAGAACTACAACTACGTGCAACAATGTGGATGAATCTCACAAATATTATGTTGAGCGAAAGAAGCCAGACACAAACAAAAGAGTACACTGTATGACTTCATTCATGTAAAGATCAAAAACTAAAACCAGTTTGGAAGTCAGAATAGTAATACCATTGAGGGGTGGGTACTGACTGAAAGGGGGCACAAGGTGGAACTTCTGGTATGTGGGTAATGTCCTATTTCTTGATCTGGGTGCTGGTGACACAGGTGTGTTCGCTTTGAAAATTTTTCAAACTATACAATAATGATTGATGCATTTTTTTGTGTCTGTATTATAGTTCAAAAGATCTTTAAAATGATATTGTCTATGAAATGGCTTGATTCCAACTTTTGCTAAGATTGCTATTTATTTCTACTTTAAGGTGCCAATGTGAATAGGGCTACAGCCAATAATGATCATACAGTGGTGTCACTGGCATGCGCAGGAGGTCACCTGGCGGTTGTTGAACTACTCTTGGCTCATGGGGCTGACCCTACTCATCGACTCAAGGTATTCTACTAAAAAATAAGTGAATAAATAAATAATATATATATTAAAATGTTTGATCTCTCAGTGTTTAATATTCATTACTCTTTAATGAGTTTTGATTTTATATGAGTTGCTAAGAAACTAAATGTGTATAGTAATCATATAAGAAGAAATTTACAAATAATAATTATGGTGTCAATTTTTCTCAGGATGGCTCAACAATGCTCATCGAAGCTGCAAAAGGTGGCCATACTAATGTTGTTTCTTATCTATTGGATTATCCAAACAACGTTCTATCAGTTCCTACTACAGATGTATCTATACTCACTCCACCTTCTCAAGATCAATCTCAGGTAAAGTAAAACAGAGCTTATTTGAAATGATAACTATTCTTACCAGTTGGGAATTTTTTTTTTTAAAACATATTTTATTGATTTTTTACAGAGAGGAAGGGGGTTAGGGATAGAGAGTTAGAAACATCCATGAGAGAGAAGCATCGATCAGCTGCCTCCTGCACACCCCCTACTGGGGATGTGCCCGAAACCAAGATACATGCCCCTGACCGGAATTGAACCAGGAACTCTTCAGTCCCCGGGCCAACGCTCTATCTATCCAGTGAGCCAAACCGGCTAGGGCTCAGTTGGGAATTTTTGTTTAAAATTTGTTTTAAGCAAAATTGGCTGGTTTCTTTTTTCTGTTACATATTGAGATAAACATGATCCTAAGTTCTTAAAGTTTCTTTTATTCAAAAGTTCATGGAAATTTTTTAATCTTATTTACTAAAAATAGTGTTTTTTAAAAATATTTAATACCAAATATAAATATTTAATATTTATATATTAAATATTTAATACCAAATATAAATATTCCAAATTCTCATCTTACTGCAACTAGGTTTTGGGGTTGTTTGTTTTTTAATGAATGTATTAAGCATAATTTTGAACCAAAAAAAAGCTTTTCCCTAATACCTCCCAAGACACTATTATTTATTCTAGAGTTAACTATTTTGTCAACCAGCGAAGTATAGTTAACCAGGAGATATACACCAAAAGTTCATTAAAGTAATTTTTAAACCTACCTAAAAATATGGAGAGAATATAGAGGATATACTAAGCATACAGAGTTTAGTGAAATCTTAAGTTCTTGTCTACAAAATTATCCTGAGAACTGCTAAAATACTCCAACTCAGGAGACATTTGGAATTTTTCTTTCTTTTGACCCATGTGGAATTTGAACAAGGGTAAATTGGCCAGTAATTATGTGAATTGTACTCCTAGCTATGTAATTGGAACCAAAAAGGCTTTGTTCTTAGCAAGAGAGTAATATTCCATTTAGCTTAAATCATTTACTTGTAGATTGCCTGAGTTTGTCCAATCAATATTCTTAGAAATTATTCCTTAGTGAAATTTTTTTTAATCTTTATTGTTGAAAGTATTACATAGGTCCTCCTTTTCCCCCCCATTAACTCCTCCAGCCCTCTTCCGTCTCCTCCCCACCCCCAGGCTGTCACCACCCCCATTGTCTGTGTCCACCCATTATGCATATATGCATACAAATTCATTGGTTGATCTCTTCTCACCCACCCTCCCTTGCCTTCCCTCTGAGGTTCAACAGTCTGCTCATGCTTCTATGACTCTGGGTCTATTTTTGATCATCAGTTTATTTGGTTCATTGGATTGCACATAAGAGAGATCATGTGATACTTATCTTTCTCTGACTGGCTTATTTCTCTAGCATAATACCCTATAGGTGAATTTTTTGGTGTTCTGTTCTTGTTTTTTTTTCTTAATTTTTAAGAAACAAAAAAGTGAATCTATTTATGAAAAAAATCTAAAACAGGATCTCTGCTTAATTTGTGGGTCTTTGTTTTACTCTTTGGTCTGAGATTATTTTTTTCTGAGTTGACTTTTTAGGTTCCACGTGTACCAATGCATACACTTGCCATGGTTGTACCTCCCCAAGAGCCTGACAGAAGTTCACAGGAGAACTCCCCTGCCCTTTTAGGAGTACAAAAAGGTTAGTTTTTAAATTATTTCTTTAAAATGGGTATTTTATTATCTAATTAATGAATTCATTAGTATGTATCCCATATTAATTCATACATTAATTGAGGTAGGTAATTCTGAAAATGCTAATAGCCTTACAGACTATAACATAGAAAATACATAAATACTAAGAAAAATGACTTCTTATTTTCCTGTTAACATACTGCTAGGTGTAATTTTTATCTGACATAGATGAAGATACTTGAGAAGAAGCAACCAAGTTTTTGATTAAAGTAGCACGAATTTATCAGGCATTCATTTCCCATTTGATAATTCTTTAGCTAAGCAGTAGTATAATATGAGGAATGAAAATGTATATTTTTTGTCTAGTTAAGTCTTAGTAACAATGATTCAATTCAGTGAGTGAGAAGTTTTAAGAATTACTAAATTTAGTTTCTTTCACATAATGCAAAATACAGTGTGTTAACATCTGTCAATATGTGAACCTGGACAAATAACTATCAAAAAGTATATAAGTAATACCCAAGTGAATAGTAAGAAGGAATATATACTATTTAAAGGACTCAAGTTTATGAGCTCTGATATTTTTCTGCTATCTTTTCACTTATAGATATAAAAAGTACCTTGATTTGATAATCATGTATAGTTGTCATATCCGAGTTCTTTGAAATAAGAAAATAGGTACTTTATAAGGTATTAAAAACCACATAAAAACAAATGTATGAGTATATTTCATTCCGTATATGATAATCAAGTCCTAGGTTTTTTAAATCTCAATGAGGTGTGTTAGTATGTATTAGCCTCTTTAATACTGGGATTTAAGAAAAGGTGGGGGGGGGGGTCAATCAGGGAAAAAGGAGACATGTAATACTTTAAACAATAAAAAAGAAAAAAAAGAAATGTTGGTTAGGGGTAATTGTTACAGCAGCAAACAGAAACTTCTTTCAAATTATGCCAGTTTTAGTAATTTAGAGTCTTGAGGGCCTTCGCCAAGGATTATTTCATTTCTAAACTATTAATTTTAGAGAAAAAATGTCTCTAGTGTCTCTGACTTATGCTAATTCTAGCAGCTTTCCATTGGACACATAGCTATTTAAACTTTTAAGAAAATGAAAGCTGTCATTTTTAATCTTAATGAATAAAAAGCCAAGTAAGCAGGTACTTATTAAGGAATCTGAGCATCATAACTAGCCTTTAATAAAATACTGAAACCTAAATGCCTCTATTTTTGTTGTTTCTTGTTTGGCTAAAACCCTATATAGGACTGTACTGACTTTGGCCAGGGAAATTCAGTACTACATAAGAAATCTTCTAAAAATATATATTATTAACACATACCACAAAATAACCAAGAAATAAACTAGGAAGGACATGAAGTATGTATAGAGAGCAAGTAAAACATTTTAAATTTAGATTTAATATGTAAGTAAATGAAATGTTTGGATAATGATTTTTTAAGTTGATACTCAAGTGAGTAATCATATTTTTTGCTTACTGAGATACCTCCTTGTATGGAGTATTTATTTATCTTCACTTTGATGTTTTACTACCTAATTGAATAATATAAAAATAAATTAACCTTTTAAGAAACTTTCATTTTTCTAAATTATTAGGGAAGAAAAAAGTTAACACTTATATCTAGACACTTGGGCACTTGCTGTTGCCAGCTGCCAAGTGACATTGCCAACCTAATATATATTTATGCAGGATCAAACTGTGATCATGTATTTGTTAAGATGTAATGTTAGGATAAATCATGTGCATCATAGAATGTTATATCACTATGAATTAGGAAAAATCAGTTGATATCAGAGTGCACACTGAATCAATGGAATAAAAACTCTATCTTAAATTATTAAATATATGTTGTTATATTTTTCTTCTTAAGGTGGCTTTTTCTCCTTAATACTTCTCATTTATGTCTCTAGAGAAGTTCCTTTGAATGATGAAATTGATGTTTGATGCTTTTGTTTCTCCTAACATCTGTGTTGCATATGTGATTAGGGATAAAGGAAGGGTTCTTATTCTCTAAGACTCTTATTTTCCTCTTCTAGCAATCATCTTTTCAAGTTCTTATGACATTTTATTCCTGTCTTTTTTAAATCTTTTTTATTATTCATACCTGCATCCTTTAAAATATATTCATGCCCTAAATCTTACCCAGGTATTATATACTACTTATATATTCTTTTCTTTCATGACCCATTTTGCACCATTTGTCTAGGCTCCATTCATCTTGACCCATATCTCCTGATATAGGCAACTTATCTCATTTGTTGTTTACAATTCTAGGCGGCATCTGAGAGACCTCAGAATCACTCTATGAACAAAATGTGAAACTAGGAGAGAGTGATATGCTGTTTTCTAGCATTGTTTAGCTAAATTATGTATAGTTGTGAATACTCAGATGGGAAAGGATATAAAAGTGGTATCAACCCCATGCCTTACAAAATTAATTTTTAAATTTGTCATTTGAAGCCATTTGTTGCATCTGATTTATTTGTTGTAACTGGTTCTCCAGAGATTCTAAAAGAGAGGACTGGATTATCCTATGCAGGTTAACAGTTTAGAATTTAATCTGTTACAAAGCATTTAAATGATGTCAGGATAAAACAAAACCTTTATCTTTTGTGTGCACCTCAAGCCCTCTAGAGGAGTAATTTCTTTGCTCTGAACTCCTACAGCACTTTATTGGATCTTCCTTCTGGCTCAGGTCACTGCTACTCCTGCCCCCTCCTCCCCTTTTGGAACTCATGTGTAGAAGGTTGGGTTAATCACACTCAATTCCTGGTGCTTTGACATTGTGGCTCCTCTCTTACTCCCTTTATCCCTCTTTCATTCCCCTACTTGCCCTGTGGGCAATCATTCTGGGTTGGTTTTGTTTTGTTTTTGCGGGGGGGGGGGGGGGGGGGGGGGGGGGTTGATGTGTAGATTCTTTTGTTCTTACACATTCTCATAATACGTTTACTACTTAATGGGTATTTTAAATTTAACAAGTGGTATTGTGCTGAATTCCATTTTGTTTTTTACTTTTTTCATTCAATACTGTTTTTAAGAACTATTTATGTGTCTGCCTCTATATTGTTTCTGCCAAAAGCACAGTGCTTCACCCTGTATATCCTCCATTTTTCACCAGTCCTTTCTCCCAGTGATGGGTACCCAGTTGCTTCTCACTTCTCACAGATAATGCTGTGATGAAAATCCTTATATACTCCCCTTGTAGGTCTTTGTGAGAATTTATTTGGGATAAATTTAGGAGCAGAATTGCCTGTCATAGGAATGCATACTGTTTATCTGAGAGTATTACAAATTTGCTCTCTATAATGGCTAGAACAGTTTACACTCCCACCAGCAATGCATGAGGGTTCCTATATTATACCCCCATTCCAGGCCTGCCAATCCTTGGATTTATCCCTATATTTGGACTTGTATACTTTTATCTCCTCTTTTAGACTGTAAGCTCCTTAAGGGCAGGGTTTATGTTGTTTATCTTTGTATAGTCCACTATGCCTTGCTTGTTCTATTTGTTCCAATATTTGTTGAATACACTAATGAATACCAGGCTAAGAATATATATCATTCTGAATGCAAAAGAAAATTATTAAACATTTTTAAGAAGGGAGATGTGATTAAAGAATGATGTTTTTAAAAAAATTAATCAAGAAGTAGTATTCTAAAATGGTGGGAAAAGATTGAAAACAGCAATATAAATGTAAAGTAAGAACTCAATTAACATACTGCTTTTATATCCCAGAGTTGTTTATTGGAATAGGCACCTGAAAAGTTCTCATATTTTTATATCAAATCATTAAAAGTGCAGAGAGCCCTGGCTGGTGTGGCTCAGTGGATAGAGCGTCGGCTTTTGTACCAAAGTGTTGCGGGTTTGATTCCCAGTCAAGGGCATGCACCTGAGTTGCAGGTTCATTCCAGCCCAGTCAGGGTGCTCAGGAGGTAACCAGTCAATGTGTCTCTCTCACATTGATATTTCTCTCTCTTTCTCTTTCTCCCTCCCTCCCTCCCCTCCTTCCACTCTCTCTGAAAGTCAATGGAAAAAATATCCTCAGGTGAGGATTTAAAAAAAAGTGTATAGAAAAATATATGTATAGTGAATGAAGTTGAGTGTTCTTATGGAATTTTTACTACTGATATTCTCTAGTTTAATAGATTTCTATTATGTATTCATGTTTACATGGATTACATATGCCCAAATTTAATAATGCCTTTTAACATATAATTGCTTAGAAGGCAGAAGGTTGAATTAATCTTTTAGCATGTAACACAGATGCTCTGTCTTTGAACACTCTTGGTTAACCTTACTATCCTATATAATAAAGATGTAATATGCAAATGGTCATTACACCATGAAGCGTAATGACCGACTGACCACATAACGACTGGATCACAGATCAGCAGGAGGGTGGGGCAGTGAGCTAAAATCGGTCGGCAGAGAGCTACAGGAGGGCAGGGCAGCAAGCAGAGAGCTACTGGAGGGCGGCGAGCTACTGGTGCACGGATTCGTTTGCAGGGCTACTAGTGTTAAAGGCATGTCCTGCCACTTTGGGAAATTTTGTGACAGGTATTTAGACATAAAGAAAAAATGATGAATTCCAGGCCAATGGCTTTCATTTTTCACTATGACCACAATAAGAACATTGAAACCCAGGACACATTGTACATCTATTTATCCAAACACAAATTCCATTAGATAATATATATACTCTATTACATTTGATGTACTGTGTTATTTTCTAGACTACTTCATTAACCTTTTTTTCTATTTCAATTTAAGACCCAGCTGTTTAAAAATCATTCTAGCCCTAGCCGGCTTGGCTCAGTGAATAGAGTGTCGGCCTGCGGACTGAAGAGTTGCGGGTTCGATTCCAGTCAAGGGCACATGCCCGGGTTGCAGGCGATATCCGTAGGGGGTGTGCAGGAGGTGGCCAATCAATGATTCTCTCTCATCATTAATGTTTCTATCTCTCTCACCCTCTCCCTTCCTCTCTGAAATCAATAAAAATATATTTTTTAAAAATCATTCTAGCCCTAGCCTATTTTGCTCCATGGATAGAGTGTCAGCCTGCAGACTGAAGGGTCCCGGGTTCGATTCCGGTCAAGGGCACATGCCCAGGTTGCAGGCTTGATCCCCAGTAAGAGGGTGTGCAGAAAGCAGCCACTCGATGATCCGCTCTCATCATTGATGTTTATATATCTTTCTCCCTCTACCTCTCCCTTCCTTTCTGAAATCAATAAAGATTTTTTTTAATGATTCTAAAAAAAATAATTCTAGTAAGGTGCTATGTAGATATATAAGAAAGCAAAGGGGTCACAACAAAGTTTATATCTGATTAGACAAAACCAAGTAAGAAATACGAAACCAAATCTACTGGTATGTCATGTGTTTTGTCCTTTAGCCATTATTTTTCTGTTGCACAGTATACTAATTATTTTAGACACAAAAATGATTGGTAGAATTAACTCATTTCAATAATAAACTAAATATTTGGCATGTACATGTCCACCTCATTCCCTCACTGCCCATAAAAAAAATAAAATTAAAAAAAAAAAAGGTCTCGTTCAAAGCTGTCTCTATATTATGGTTTCCTGTTTACAAAGTTTTTCTACTGGAAACCAAACCAAAAAGATGAGATGGTGACTTTTCCTAAATTCCTAGAAAGTACTTTATAATGTCATCCAATGTTACCAGTGAATAGATTTATTTATTTACATGTGACAGTGGAAGATGTTGGAAGGAGATGGAACTCTTATTTTCTAGCATCTTATATACTACTTACTACCTTCCTGCTAACTGAAAATTTGTTGCTAAAAGAACACTTGTCACATTCTCTACTTTTCCCCAAAATTGAAGGTGTTGCTTCAGCTTCTGGGAATGATTAGGTTGTATTATTTATTTTTCACCAACCTGGTTTACTTTTGATATTACAGCTTGTGTTACTGCTTTGATGTGTATCTAGCCTCTTTGGAGAAGAACTGCTTTTTGTTCATTACTTTCACCATCCTTTGTTTTTACTGCTATATCTACTAGTATTCTGGGCTTATAGTTTCTATATTTAGTTAAGTTACTTTTAGTAATCTTGTATTTTAAACTTCTTGCATCTTATTTATTAACAAGAAAGGGCCATTTCTACTGTTACTGTCCTCAAAATTCTAGCCTTATTTTGGATTATCTTATTATTTGTTAGATTTTTAATTTTTGAATCTTTAAGTTCATATAATTACCAGTCTGGTTAGTGTTGAACTCTTACATGGGTTTCCTTAATCTTATATACAAAATATGTATCAACTATATAAGGGTGTTTTGAAATTAATAAGTGTTTAAAGGAGTTTTCAGTCTGCAGAATTTTTAAATTTAGTATGCTAAAGTCATTGAATTTATCACACAACTGAGTTTTTGTTGTTGTTCTTTGTGCTGGTTATCCTTCCTTTTCTTATCTGTTGATTGTCATTAGGTACTTTGAACAAATATATCAAACCATGAATTCCTATATAAACTTATGGAAATATTTATAAAATTATCTCACAAATCTAAAGGCTATTGCTTTGAAAGAATAAAGTATTTCTTCACCACTTTGTTAAGGTAGAAATGTAAAATTGAATGTAGACAATACATTTTGCTAAGCTTGCATTTAAAGAATAAGTCTCTTAAAGTGATGGCAGTAATTTTGGAACTGTGGCCTTCTGACCTTGTTAAAGACAGTTTCTTGTGGAAAAACTGTTAGTCTTTTTCAGTAATAAAACATGTTGCAGATAGTAGAGCTACCTGCAGTTCTAACATCTCCCATTCTAGCAAAGAAGCAGCTGAATCTCTGATTTTATTTTTCAGTGGTTTTGTCACCTCTTGTAATTCAGTATGTTTTAACATCTAATAGATGACTTTTTTCCTTTGGATTTGAGAATCATTTTTAATGCATTGGATGATCTGTTTTTTAAATTCTTAAGTTAACTATGTTTATGTTATTCATATATATTGACTACAGTCCAAAAGAGTGGACAACTAATTTTTTTTCTGAGTTCTTTTTTAATCCTTACCGAAGGACATTTTTCCCACTGATATCTAGAGAGAGAGTAAAGGGAGGGAGGAGGGGGAGAGAGAGAGAGAAACATTGATATGTGAGAGAGACACATTGACTGGTTGCCTCTGGAACACACCTGGACCGAGGCCAGAGATAGAACCCACAACTGAGGTATGTGCCCTTGACAGGGAATGGAACCCAAGTCCAACACTCTAACCACTTAGCAACACTGGCCAGGGCAACTTTATGGTATTTAAAATTAAACAGCAATGAAGCTGTTTTAAAAGAACTGGGTAGGCTTGGCCATTTTGTTCAGTGGTTAGAGCATCAGCCTGCAGACCAAAGGGTCTCGGGTTTAATTCCCGGTCAAGGGCACATACCTTGGTTATGGGTTCTATCCCTGGCCCTGATTGGGGTCCAATACATAAATGTTTCTCTCTCTCTCTTTTTCTCTCTTTCTCTCCCTCCTCCTCCACCTCCCCTCCCTTCACCTTCTCTAAAAATCAACGGAAAAAATATCCTAGGGGGAGGATTAACACACACACACACACACACACACACACACACAAAATGCTATAAAGTTCACTCATTTTAAATGTAAAATGCAGTGAGTTTTAATAAACTTACAGAGTTGTGCAACCATCACTACCATCTATTTTAGCATATTTCCATTACTCCAAAAAGATCTCTCATAACTGTCTGTGATCAATCTCCATTCTCACCACCATAACCTCAGACAACAGCCACTAATTTCCTTTCTGTCTCTATAGAATTGATATAAATGGAATTACACAATATATGGTCTTTTGTGTCTGTCTTCTTTCACTTACCACAGTGATTTTCAACCTTTTTCATCTTGTGACACACATAAACTAATTGCTAAAACTCTGCAGTACATCAAAAAATATTTTTGCTGATCTGACAAAAAAACAGGTATACTTTTGATTTATTCACACCGGATGGCTATTATTGTGTTGCTGTTATTTTATTTGACAATTTAAGGGAAAAGAGGTCAGTGCGCCTGACTAAAGAGTCAGGTATTGCATGTTTTTAAAATTCTTGTGGTGGCACACTAGTTGAAAATCACTGACTTAGCATATTTCAAAGTTCATCCATGTTGTAGAATATATCAGTAGTTTGTTCTTTTTTATTACTGAACTAGAGGCCCAGTGCACAGATTCATGCACCAGTGGGGTCCTTTGGCCTGGCCTGTGGGCATTGGGCAAAACCAGCTCTTCAACATCCCTTGAGGGGTCCCAGATTACGAGAGGGCACAGGCCAGGCTGAGGGACCCCACTGGTGCACAATCGGGGCTGGGGAGGGACCACAAGAGGGCTCTAGGGTGTGTCTGGCCCGTCTTGCCAAGTCCCGATCAGCTGGACCCCAGCAGCAAGCTAACCTGCCCGTCGGAGCGTCTGCCCCCTGGTGGTCAGTGCACATAATAGTGACTGGTTGAACGGTTGGTGGGACAATTAGCATATTAGGTTTGTATATATATAGATAGTCCCAGTTCTTCCTAAATAAGAGGATTAAGCCTTGAATTAAAGCAGTAATTACATGTATCCTCCACTCTATGTCCAGGTGTTAGGATTATTAATATTTATAATTATTTTGTCATGAGAGGAGAAACTTAATTTAGGTGTGATTCAAAAACCTTAAGATAATGTACATTTACTTTATTTTTAAACACATTGTCAATATGAGTACTCTTATATGGGAAATCTGATTTTCCTCCTAGGTAACATCATTTTTCTCTGATAGATGCTTACATTAAGAGTTTATGTAAACTCAGAAAAAATTGCTCTTTTTAATATTAGTGTTCATGTACAAAAGTATTAAAGATGATGGAAAATTTTAGAACCATGTATCTTGAAAACACTGATTTCACATTATATTTTGATATATTAAGAGAAGCGTTTTGGCAATTTGAAAAAAAACTACTTTCATCTACAAGTTATAGTTTCTTATAGTAATCTTTGCTTGCACAGTTAATATTGTGCAAAGAACAATTGAGCAGTTAAGCTAATATTAATGGTATCTTAACTCTATTTTGATAATGCTTTAGATTTGACATTCTTTAAGAAGTCTAGTCAAATAAGCAGAATTTTGAGATTCTTTTCCTCTTTGATTTGATTTTCATCCTGTCCTGTCTTAATTTCCAAAATCCTCCTGTTCTAAAGATTAAACTTTTTATTAAAAATTTCATTTTTTTAATTGGCAACATCCTAGTTTGTGCTGTTAAATAGATGAGTATGGTCTTTACCTACCACTGTGTGAATCTTTAAACATTCATTCTACAGCATTAATTATAAGGGTTTGGGGAGGGAGGTCCATGTGTGTGGGAGGGGGAGCTGATTTTTTTTTTTTTAGCATGGCACTTTTTCAAACATTTTTCATGTGCTTAGGTACATCCAAGCAGAAGTCCAGTTCCCTGCAGGTAGCAGATCAGGACGTACTGCCACCTTTTCACCCATACCAGCCTTTGGAGTGCATAGTAGAGGAGACTGAAGGCAAGCTGAATGAACTGGGACAAAGAATTAGCGCTATTGAAAAAGCACAGCTTAAGTCATTGGAGTTAATTCAAGGTGAACCTCTGAACAAAGATAAGATAGAAGAACTAAAAAAGAACAGAGAAGAGCAAGTCCAGAAGAAGAAGAAAATACTGAAAGAGCTGCAGAAAGTGGAAAGGCAGTTGCAGATGAAAACACAGCAACAATTTACCAAAGAATACTTGGAAACCAAAGGTCAGAAAGACACAGTATCTCTACACCAGCAGTGCTCTCATAGAGGAGTCTTCCCAGAAGGGGAAGGAGATGGTAGTCTTCTAGAGGATCACTTTTCAGAGTTACCTCAGGTTGACACAATCTTATTTAAAGATAATGATGTTGATGATGAGCAACAGTCTCCACCATCGGCAGAACAAATTGATTTTGTCCCAGTCCAGCCTTTATCATCTCCACAGTGTAACTTTTCCAGTGACTTAGGTTCTAATGGGACAAATTCTCTTGAACTTCACAAAATATCAGGTAATCATCAGATTATAGGACAGCCACAGATTGCTATTACTGGACATGATCAGGGGCTGTTAGTTCAAGAACCAGATGGACTAATGGTTGCAACTCCAGCCCAGACGCTTACCGACACTCTTGATGACCTGATAGCAGGTGGGTTAAGAAATATATCTGTAATAATTTTTCTTTAATCTGTGTGCTCAACTTCTTTACACAACCCTCCAAAAACACCAACTTTGTACTTTTATGTTTTAGAATGATCTTTGTAAAATTATTTCCTGAGGTGTTTTGGAAGTGATTTTAATTAAGCTCTAACACACAAAAGTGTGTTTGCCCTTCTTCTTTTTGTTACTTACAAAGGCAAAGAAATAAAGCTGCCATGATCCTTTACTTTAGACCTTTGGTGTCAAAATCACCCTGTGTTGTGTCTTGGTTAGGAGATCTCAAAATAGAATTCCTTTGTAAGCTTTAGAGATATTCACAAAAGATTATACATTAAATTTTCCTGCTAGTGATTTTTATGTTTGGAAATCAGAATTCTAAATCACATTGTTTTTTCTTTATTTATAATTTTATTAGATCAATTTAAATATTTATAATTGAAAGGGATGTTCAGAGAAAACTATAAACATTCCATGTTGATACAGTATTTGTGGTTAGAATATTTAAAGTTAGAAATTATTGTCAACTTGATGATGATTTGGAGATTGGGATTTTTATATTAACTGTCTTGATGAAAGCACACAGACAGACATAATACACACACACACAAATAAAAAATAAAAAAGGACCTGGTAACCTTAAAGTATGTTTCTTTTCTTTTTTTTTTTTTGTGGAAAATTACAACTAGATATGAAATGAGGTACACAAGTTTACTTTCCCTTTCATTGTCCTTGCAGCAGTGGGAAAACAGTGCAATTAATCATTTACCTTCCTAAAGATGGCTGGTGAATGTATCACCTCCATGAGAGCCCAGTTCAGAAATGCAGCCAGAATGGCTGTTGACAGTGGATGAAGACCAAGAACTAAGATGTAGCTGGAGTGATATTCAAAGGCAGGCCAGTCCTCTGTCTCGATTGCAAAATTTTTTTCCTTAACTGTTGTCTGTTTCCTCTTGTCATATTCTCCTTCCCTCCTCCCATCCCAATTATGCTATCCCAGTTTTCTTCTTTTGTGAGTCTTTAGTCTTCCTAATCTTTACTGAATCTTTAAAAATGTGGAATAAGATTACTTAAATCAGGAATTTTGGGGGGCATGTGTATGACTTTCAGTGGTTATAGAATTGTAATACAGCCTGTGAGGCTCCTCTAATATGAAATATAGGTACCACTGTGCAGAGGAGGAATATCTTAGTTTTTGTAAAGAAAATAAAAATGCTGGGAAATGTTTTAAGGAGTTAGATTATTTAATTTAGGTTTTTATATCTTAAGCCCACAGCCATTTAACTCAAATTAACTTTGTGTCATTAGCATTGAGAGTTGTTATAAATTATAAATAAACTCAGAGTTTATTTATAGCTCTTATTTCTAATCTGGGAAAAAGTATATATTGGAATGTGCAGTATGATTATGAATAATAATAATAAAACTAGTGATCCTGGAATAACATTTTTAAGGTTCTATAAATAGCATTGTAATGTTCCTAATTAAATACTCAATTTACATCATGAAACCCACATTACTGATCGATCTAGTATTGTTGTAACTTAGGACTTGTTTGGTTGTTGTTTTTAAAGACTGTAGAAACAGCTCTAAAAGTAAACTTCTGGATTTGAACTTTATGGTGGTAAATGGATGGTCGGATAGTTTTGTAGGGGAGGTTAAATTTTATTTCACCAAAGTATTTGTTAAATTGAAGTGGTCTTTTACAAAGTTAACATAAAACTTCAAAAAGCTGATTTAGAAAACATCTTTTAATGATATGTAATGTTAATAGAAACTAATAAAATTTAATTTCTGTTAGACATTAATATCTAGTGATAGTTGGTCCACCATATTATGTAATATTATTTTATTAATAAACTTTAACATGTAAATCAGCCAATAAATATAAAAATTATGTTCATATAAAAAAACTTCCATTAAGCCCAGGTTTCTCTTAATTTTTTTACTTGAAGGTTAAAGAAATTAGACAAGGATGAATGGTGAATACCTAATTCTACAAGTGTATGATACATTGAAATTGGTAGGATTATATGTGAGACCAAAGATGTGATTAATTTTACCTAAATTAAATCTAGTTCTCAAGCCTTGTATTTAATAAAGGAGAGAATACTGTACATCTTGCAATTATACTCCAGAAAATATTCATTTATAACAGCAATAAATTTACTCTTTAAATATAGGAGTATTTTTTCTTTAATGCAGTTTTATTCTCAAAATTTATCATGATGAGTTGGTAGATACATAATTTATTAATGTCACAACTTGATTAGCTGACTAACTTAGTCTTTTAGTATATAGTCTTATTTGTGTCATATTTTATTTAGTCCCAGACAAAATGTATGTAAAATCTTGATTGGGAGCATGGTTCTTCAAGTCCTTTTCTTCTGAAAGTATTGGACTTTTACAGTTTATCATAATAACAAGTGATTTTCATGTCCAGACCTCAGTTTTACATGATTCACATATCTAGAACTGAGGTCTGGGAATTCAAAGCAATTTAAAGAATTCAAAATAGCTTTGACCATTGAGCAGTTTTAGAAACATTAGTAAAAATTTCATTATGAATATATAAAAAACATTGGCTAAAAATTAACTAATATCTGTTCAATTTATTGAGTACTTACCATGCGCTAAGCTCTGTGCTAAATGCTTATGTACATTGTCTTATGAACTATTTATAATCATCCTATAAAATACTTTTCCCACCTGTTTTTCTTTTAAAAAACTGAGGCTTATGGAAATTAAGTTGCTAGTAAGTAACAAGAGTCAAAAGTCAGTTCAGCCAGGTTTAAGAACCACAGATGTAATATGCTTGCATCTGATTCAACTTGAAGTTCTCAATTTATCTTAAAGATATTTTCTCAAAACTTCTAAATTCTATTAAATAACATTTTCTTATTTTATATTAAGATTTGATGTGCATATAAGGGCTAATGTATTTTTGTGACTTTAGCACATTGTTATTGCTATTGGCATGTTAATAGGCTCTTTACAACAAATTCCAATTCAAAAGTATTTTACTTTAAATAATACTGTGGTAGTCAATGTGGCTTAAGAATAAAAGAGTAATTAGGAAACTCTCTTATTTTTTAGGGCACTTACAATAAAATGCCTTTAAATAATAATTTCCTCTAATAGATGTTAATATTTTATTTATAGATTTTTATTTATTTATATGAAACTAATAGTTACTATTAAATAAAACAATTTATAGTGATTTAATTTATTAAAACCTTACAACATAGCTTATGTAAACCTAGTATCTGAGGTTTTTATATAGCAAGGTTTATTATCATCTTCCATATTGCCTACAAAACTGTCTTAAATTTTATAAAGAATTAGGTAGAATATTATCCTTAGTTCTTTTATCACCTTTTTAGGGTAGTGCATAAATTTAATTTGAATTATGTGACTTTTGTGATAGTAATTATAGTCATTTTCAGAGACATTTTATTCAGAGGTAGGAAACAATTTAGGATTTATGAAAATGTTATAGTCTTGGTGTAAATTTATCTTAATAAAACCTTTATTCCACATGTACCTTTAAATCTTTGCTACTTTCTAGTTTTATCTTTATAACTTTTGTATGTAATTAAGCCTATTAAAGTCACTTCTATGAAATGTTGCTGATTGTCATTATTGCAAGGTAGAAAAAATGTTTCTAAAATAATGATGTAGAAAATGTACAATAGTTGGTGTGACAACACATTTTTTGTCATAGTTTTTAAATGCACAAAAGTATTTTTTTAAAGTCAACTCTGTAAAGAAGTCTTTTTATAACATCACATTCTGGCACAGCACTCTAGTCAAATGTTTAAAATTTTTTAAATATCTGTTTTTCATATAACAAGAGGTAACATGAATAAATAAAATTAATAATGATTAAAAAGTAGTTCTTCAATAAGGTGTATGTTAATAATTATGAGACCAGTGTAAAAATTTTATTATAAAGGTGCTATGTATCATCTTTAGAATCTTGCTTACTAGAGCTATTTTCCAAATATATCAACTGTTTTGAGGAGGAATAACAAATATCTGCTTTTATTTCATTAAATGATAAAAATTTTTAAACTTTTTTTCATTTGCATGTTCTTGTAGGTGAAACAAATATATATAATAATCGTTCCTATTTGTAAATGGATAGTTTAAATTATGTATACTTATGTGGTGACAATCTGCAGAAATTCATATTGCCAAGATAATTTTATATATATTGATGGGGAGGACAGCTCATATGGAAACATATCTGAACATTTTTAAAATTTGTTATTTTTAAAAGTAATATACTAAACTGAGTCATTCACACTTGTGAACACCTTAGCAAGTGATTGGGGTCCTATCAAAATTCTAGAGAGAAAATATTCTCTAACATTTGAAATGCTTATAGTTCCCTTTAAGACTTATATGTTTTCTTGACTTTCAGTCTGGGTGATAGAAGTTTGTTTATTGACATTACTGAAGCCTTGTTGTCTTTTTCCATATTATTAATGATTGTGTGTTTTTCTGAGCTTTTTTCCTTCTTAAGTAGTAATGTTTTTCAAATTAGTGAATAATAGTACTGAAAGTTCTATAAAATATCTGATAATTACATTTATTGAGTACTTACTATATGCCAAACACTGTGTTAAATGTTTTTATAAATTATCTCACAGACAATTCACAGCATCCCTCTCAGATAGGTCCTATTTCCCTCTCTATGAGGCAAACTTCATCTCTAATGAAATGTAAGAAATATATAGACATAAAGGTATCATTTCAATTAACAAAGTTTCCAAACACCAGATTTTGAGATCTAAAATAAAAGTTTCAATGTTCAGTTGAAAAATAGTTTGATTTTCAGACACTGATTCATTGTGGCAAATTTTCAAAGCAAATATTGAATTTTAAAAAATGCTCTCTGCTATTAATGGGATAAATATTCTAACTTGTTCTCCCCTTTTTTGCATTGTTCTCAGGATATTTTATCTAATTACCTTTTATAAATTAAGAAAGTCTTTACTTTTTTAAAGGAAACTATTTTTTCTCTATTAACAATGTAAAAGGCTACCATTTGTTACATTTGCACTCAATAACAGACACTATACTAAGTATTTTACCTGCATTATTCTGAGTATTTCCAACAGCCTTACAAGGCAGGTATTGTTATTATTCTCCCCATTTTACACCTAAGAAAAATTGAAACTCCAATAGGTTCATCTGACTCCAAAGCTTAGGATTTAGTTACTACATTATATTACTAATACAGAATTTTATATTTTCTGTATTTTTTTGTATATTATAAATGACTTTACTCTTTTAGTAGAATTCAGCAATATGGATATTGTTTTTCAGCTGTGAGTAGCAGAGTGCCCACTGGTTCAAACAGTTCCTCTCAGACCACAGAATGTCTTACACCTGAACCCTGTTCACAGTCTCCAAGCAATGTGGCTTCCCAGTCATTGCCCCCTGTCTATCCCTCAGTTGACATTGATGCACATGTGAGTATATTGCTTTATTTAAACTTATTTTGCACATTTTTATTTTCTTTGTTTGGAAAGGAAAATTATCATTTTATATTCATTGTGAAAATATTTGCTCATCAATTGATAACCCCATTGTAAAAAAACAAAATCTAATTTATTTTTTCCCCTTCTAGACTGAGAGCAATCATGACACAGCATTAACATTAGCTTGTGCAGGTGGCCATGAAGAACTCGTATCTGTACTCATTGCACGAGATGCTAAAATCGAACACAGAGACAAAAAAGGTAAGGAATGTCAGTCAAAAATAAAGTCTGGCCCTGGCCAGTGTGGCTCAGTTGGTTAGAGCATCATCCTATGTACGGTCATGGGTTGGATTCCCAGTTGGGACGTATGTGGGAGACAACTGATCAATGTGTCTCTCTCACATCAATATTCCTATCTCCCTTCCTCCCTCTCTAAGGTCAATTATAAATAAATAAATAAATAAATAAATAAATAAATAAATAAATAAATAAATAAATAAATAGTCTGAGTGTAGTTACATCAAGTTTTTTCACTGTCATTATGTAGTTTCTAGACTGTCTCAGTGAAAAGATGGATAAGCATATTTCAATTTGAAATTCCAGATTTGTTCATCTACAGAGCCTAATTATTCTCCAGAAATTTGAGTATAAATTATCAGTGAAGTACAGGTTTCCTTTCTCCTTAATCCAAAAGTTGAGCATGCAGCGGTTTCAAAGTTCACTATGAGTATAAACTGCAATAGTTATCTTTGACTTAGCATTTCCTTTTTATAGATGTTTATGGATTTTTGTCACAAATTAGAGGTTAGAGCAGTTTTATGTTAAATACTTATAAGTATCTGCCCTAAAGACTTTCTCTACTAAAATAATCAAGAAATAAAAGCAGTGGCTTAATAAGTAAAAACCACAAATTTGTTTGAGAGTTTTATTTTCTGATTTAGGCTTCACACCACTGATCCTGGCGGCAACAGCAGGGCATGTTGGAGTTGTTGAAATCCTTTTGGATAAAGGTGGAGATATAGAAGCACAGTCTGAACGAACTAAGGATACTCCACTTTCATTGGCATGTTCTGGTGGACGTCAGGAGGTGTGTTAATGTTAATTTTCATTTTGTAAATATGTTTCCATATATTTTAAATATGCCTATGATGAGTGAACCACAATCCTAACACATATGAAATGCAAATGGTTACTCAACAATTGACGAATAGAAAGAGTAACTTTTGATTTCAGTACAATTGGGATTTCAAACCTCTGAATTCCTTGATGTGAAATTGAATCCATTTCCCTAATGCTGATATTTGAATATACAAAGTCTAATTAATGATAAATTGAGCCCTTGATGTAAACTGGAATTCTCTGTTCACATTTTACTTTGTAGGTGGTAGATTTGTTGCTGGCTCGAGGTGCAAATAAAGAACATAGGAATGTGTCTGATTATACACCACTGAGTCTAGCTGCATCTGGAGGATATGTCAATATCATTAAGATTCTGCTTAATGCTGGGGCAGAAATTAATTCAAGGTATCTATCACCTATCTCGTTTTTTACTCATGATTAATAAGTTACTACTTAGAATAAGTGTCTTCCCCTAAATATTTGGATAGACACCATTTTTAATTAAGATAGTATTAAAGTTACAAGAGCCAACAGTTCTTCCTGTAATGTGCTTATAAATAATCACAGATTATTTCAACTAAGGTGACTATTTTTAAAGAGGTCTCCTTCAGAAAGTACGTGGTTATGTATAGTTGAAAATTTATAACTCTAAATAAGGATTATGTTGTAAATTGTAAGATTTTCCTATTTCTAATTATTAGTCTAAACAAATAAAATCATTCATTGGTTTCTTTTTACTGAAACATTTTCATCCTTTACGTTCTCTATGCTTTTTTAAAAAAACAACAGGTAACATATTTTAATTTTCTAATTTCCCCCCTGAGGACTGGGAGTAAACTAGGTATTTCTCCCCTGATGTTGGCTGCAATGAATGGACATGTTCCTGCAGTGAAATTGTTGCTTGATATGGGTTCAGACATTAACGCCCAAATAGAGACCAATCGGAACACAGCTCTCACCTTGGCCTGTTTTCAAGGTCGAGCAGAAGTAGTGAGTTTGCTTCTGGACCGAAAAGCCAATGTTGAGCATAGAGCAAAGGTAAGCACTTTATAATTTGTCAACTACATCAGATATATTTCTAGTAGAAGAAGAATAGCATTTCAACTCAAATTGATGTACTGTTTTAAATTGTCATAACTTAAAACTGATGCCCTAATGCAAGATTGGAGAATTGTGCTATACAGTGGTCAGTAACACATTATCACTATTCATGACTTTTATTAAGGACAGTGACAGTGAAGAAAATAGAATCAGTATTTTTTTCAATCTCAGGTTTGAGTGGTTCCCTTAATCTTCTAATTTGCAGCTTTTGAATGTAGTAATATTATTTTATAGTAAGATATTTTTGAGTAGTAAGATTATTTTATAGAGCCCATTAATGTAGATTTTTAAAGAGGCGTGTGCCTTAATAAGGCATGTGCTTACCAATGGTAAAAACCCCAATCCAAAAAATTACTGCACAGCCCTAGCCAGTGTGGCTCAGTTGGTTGGAGCATCATCCTGTACACCAAAAGGTGGCGGGTTCAATTCCCTGTTGGGGCACATACCCAGGTTGTGAGTTCAATCCCAGATCAGGGTGTGTGTGGGAGGCAACTAATCATAATCAGTGTTTCTCTCTCACATGGATGTTTCTCTCTCTCTCTCCCTTCCTCTCTCTGAAATCAATTTTTTTAAATTACTGCATAGATTATAAATTTAAGATAGCCAAATTCTGACAATTTTATGACTATTTAGCATTCAGAAAGTAAGAGTATGTCAGTGTTTCGAATTCTTTTTTGGCTTAGAACTATTAAGTACTTAGAACTCTAGAAAAATGTAACTTGTGTAAAATTCTTAATAATCAGACAATTGCCAAGCTGGTAGTCATTTCAAGTTGGAAGGGATTGAATGAAAATCTCATTTTTTCTCCCTGAATTTCATTAAAACTTTTCATTGCACAAAGAGAGATGAGCCTTTCCTGCTATCCAGTTTATCTTTTATATTACAGATACTCAGTGTGACCCACTTGATTATTAGAAGTCCTAGATGAATCATCTTACTTTAGAAATATTACCAGTAGGAAATATCTTTTGGCAAAAATGTCATGAACAAAAGACATGAATAAAATATATGATATTTCAATCTATTTTACCTAAATTTGAATAGGATTGAAAGAATTTACCCTGAGGTATTTAGCAAACTGCGTTCTCAGATAAAGTATTATCTAAAAAAAGTTTTCCCATTAAACATTGTGCTTTACTTGCTTTTTATTCATTTTTAATATCTTTATTTGTTGTGCAGAGAAGTTAAGGTCTCATGCATAAATTTATAACAGTATAGAAGTTATAAAATTGTTTTGTTTGTTTTAATTTAGCATGTGGTCGTATAAGTTAATTCATTCTAGCTTGTCTAATTGCATCTAACAATTTTTACTTGCTGTTTAGTGAAATTTAAGATTGTGAATATTGCTTAGCTGTTTTATGAGATAAAATAACAAATAGAAAACACAAATCAATTGTTTTAGCCTTTTGAAAAGTTATATTAATTTACTTGAATAATTTTTGGTTTAAACAGACTGGTCTTACCCCCTTGATGGAAGCTGCTTCTGGAGGGTATGCCGAGGTTGGGAGAGTTCTCCTTGATAAAGGAGCCGACGTCAATGCCCCCCCTGTGCCTTCCTCAAGAGATACTGCTTTAACAATAGCAGCGGACAAAGGTCACTATAAATTTTGTGAGCTCCTCATTAGTAGGTGGGTAAATTTTTTATTTATATATAGAACTTTCTGCTTTCACTTTCCAGAGCCATTAAAGCTAATAAAATTGTTCTACTTTACTGACATTTTAAAGAACAGATTGTTTACATGATATTTTGTAACAGATAAAAGACAAATAGAGAAAAATAGAAAAAGTTTGCCTCTTCTCATAGGAAACAAACTACATTAACATCTTTTGATTTTATAGAGGAGCCCATATTGATGTTCATAATAAGAAGGGAAACACACCACTTTGGTTGGCATCCAATGGTGGACATTTTGATGTGGTGCAGTTGCTGGTGCAAGCAGGTGCTGATGTGGATGCTGCAGATAACCGGAAAATCACACCTCTTATGTCAGCATTTCGGAAGGTAATTTGATATGGGTGAGGGGGGATAAAATTTAATAATTTTAAATCAATTCTAAGTTAAAACCATATAAGAAAGATAAATTGGATAAATGACTATAAATCTATATACAAATAACTGCTATATTTTCACTTTTTGTAGCCAGATCTAATAGCTATATGGTAGCTCACTACAAGCAACTTTATTAGATTAACTCGTGTCTAGACTAGTTTTGTTATGTCATTGTACATAAAGCATTAGATTTAAGGGCAGTTATTATATGCAGATGGATATCTTCTCTACCTCAGGAGGAAAAAAAATGAGTGGACTCTTTAATAAAAACTTATTATACCATATATATATATATATATATATATATATATAAAGGCTCACTTATCTGTTATATTTTTAAAAGCCCTCCCATTACATTTATGATAAACTATAAATGACTTAACATGGCTTACAAAGCCCTGTAGGATATGGCTCATGCCAGCCTCCCCAGACCAGTCATTTATACTACCCTTCCCCTTGGCTCACTACACTTCAGCAATAAATTTTTAACTGCCTCAGGTCTTTTTCTCACTGGTTTTCTTTTCCCAAAATGTCTTTCCCTTGCATCACCTGACTCACTTCTACTTACCCTTTAGCTCCCATTTTAAATGTTAAGAGTTCTTCTGTAACACCCAATCTGAAAAGGTCCCTCTTCTCTTTTATAGTACACTATTATTTTCCTCATCCAAATGTGTAGTTTATATGTTCAAATACATGTTTACTTTTTTTTTAAATGTATTTTATTGATTTTTTACAGAGAGGAAGGGAGAGAGACGGGTAGAAACATCGATGAGAGAGAAACATTGATCAGCTGCCTCTCGCACACTCCCTACTGGGTGCCTGCAACCAAGGTACATGCCCTTGACTGGAATCAAACCCAGGACCCTTGAGTCCGCAGGACGACGCTCTATCCACTGAGTCAAACCAGTCAGGGCTACATGTTTACTTTTTTAATGCCTATCTCCTCAACTAGGCTGGAAGATCCATGAACAATAAGATTCATGACTTTTTCACCACTGTTCATACCCAGTTGTTTAGCACAGTGCCTAACTCATAATAGCTGGTAACTAAATAGCTATTGAATGAGAGTAGTATAAGTTATATGTCTTAGAAAAATATCTTAAGATATTTTCTAGACTTAATTCTTTTTACAAAATTTTCTTTCCTTTTAATTGAGGTATAATTTATATCCAGTGTAATGCACAAGTCTGAGGTTCATAGTTTAATGCGTTTTGATAAATGCATATGCCCATGTAACTCAAACCCCATAAAGATATAAAATATTTCCATCATTCTAGAAAGTTTTATCGTGCCTGTGTTCAATTAATTCCCTGCTTTGAAGGCAACCACTTTTCTGTTTTGTGTCACTACCAGACCAATTTTTGAGGATGTCTTAGAACCTTAATAGGAGGGGAAACTATGCAAGTTTGGTTATTTTATAATAGAATTGATTACAAATTATTCATTCTCTGATAATGACAATTAGGAAGTGTTCTTTCTAGAGTCAAGTTATAGGACTCAGATAAATGTAGGCAATCTACCTTGTTTAGTAAGGTGAGAGCCAAAATAATGCTTTGGAATCTAGAACATCCTCTTTGTTTTTAGGACTAATTTACAAAAACTTTTCTACTTTCCATGGAAAATAGGCATATTAAACTCAGGAGAAATGTCTTTTGGTCCACCATATATTCCCGAGCATGTTGTACTTATCTTTCTGTTTATAAACTCAACACTGATTTTATTTTTATAATTTCAATTTGTAATTTAATAAACTATCTTAAAGTATTAATATACCTTTTACTCTTAAGTTTTTAAGCATATGGAGAAATTTTAAGAGATTTTTTGGTGTGCTTTCTGTTGTACTCTTTACAGGGTCATGTAAAAGTTGTTCAATATTTGGTGAAAGAAGTCAATCAGTTCCCTTCTGATATAGAATGCATGAGATACATAGCAACAATTACAGATAAGGTAGGTTTAATATGCTATTGGAGCACATTTTTGTTTTTTGTGGAATTATGTGCTAAAATGTGCAGTTACGGACCTGTTCTTTTGTCCTCTATGAGACTAACCACCTCGTCTTTCTATACTTTAGTTTCTCCATTTATAAATAGAGAATGGGTATAATACTTCTTTTTTTTTTTTAATATATTTTATTGATTTTTTACAGAGAGGAAGGGAGAGGGATAGAGAGTTAGAAACATCGATGAAAGAGAAACATCGATTCAGCTGCCTCCTGCACACCCCCCACTGGGGATGTGCCCGCAACCCAGGTACATGCCCTTGACCGGAATCGAACCCGGGACCCCTCAGTCCGCAGGCCGACTCTCTATCCGCTGAGCCAAACCAGTTAGGGCTGGGTATAATACTTCTGATAAATGATTCCCTTACTTTTCTGAACCATAATTACAGTGACTGCAGCCAAAATTTATTACTAGACCATTAGCCCAATTTAGAAAGTTTTCTGAGAACATATAAAGTTTTTAGGGAGTAGTTCCTTATTTTAATTGAAGATTGATTCATGACTAGACTCAAAGGATAATTTAATTTATTTATTTGAATTAAGCCCTGGATTTTGGTATGCTAATCAGCTCGTCTTATTTGGCCTAGTATGTTACATGTTCCTTCATTGAAATAATTCCATTTTTCACTATAGGAACTGTTGAAAAAGTGTCATCAATGTGTTGAGACAATTGTGAAGGCTAAAGACCAACAGGCTGCGGAAGCAAACAAGAATGCAAGTATTCTTTTAAAGGAACTTGATCTGGAAAAGGTGAGTGGGAAAAATAATTTTCCTTATAAAAATATTGAAAATCTAAGGTAAATTTGCCACCTATAGACCAATATTTTGAACAAAATATTTTTCAAAGGAAATGATTAGTAGATTAATTTTTAATTTGAACCTGTCATTCATAAAAAATATTTTGAACCATATAAGTGAGGTCTAGTTTTCAAGCATATCACAATTTACCAAATGATACTTACTGCCTAAGTGGTTTTAATATTAGTCTAAGAAAAATTTAGTAAAACATTGGAAGTCATTTGTTTATTATAAGATCTGGGCTATAAGTGGTTTATTATATCCTCAAAGACTAAGTGTCAGATAGCCTAGAATGTGTGGTAAAATGGAAAAAGTTAAATAAACAAGATCACTTTTCTGAGGCTCAGTCTGTTTACCAGGGAAATGAGGATGTTGTTATTAAATCCAGAATTTATATTAAAAGAACAAACTCCATGATCAAATAGTCATTCTAGGAATGCAAGAGATAGCTTAACCTGAAAATATTTTGTTGATTAAACGAAGAAAAAAGATACAATCATTTTGGAAAATGCCAGTTCTTAGTTTAAAAATTACAAAATAAAACTTGTAAGCTAAAAACAGAAGGAAAGATTGCTTACCAATCAATGAGAAAAAGAGAACTTGCTCAGAATAAGGAATGATTCAGAGAAAAATAAATATAGATGGTCAATAGATGGAGAATGCCTAACTTTATAAATAAAGAAATGCACTATAAAAGAGTGATTTAAGTTTTTTTTTACCAGACTGTCAAAATTTAAAGGTCTGGTAATAGCTGTTGAGGCAAAGGTATGGAGAAATTAGCACTCTAGTATGATTTCTTTATGTATGGTATAAATTAGTATAACTATTAACAGAGGTATTTGACAAATTAATTAATTAAAAAAGTGAATACCCTTATTCTAGCCATTCCACTTATAGAAATTTTATCTAAGATAGATAGACAAATGCTCAAAGATGTGAATGTATATAAGGTCATTCATTGTTGTATTGCTTATAATAGGGGAAAAACTGTAAACGTTAAAGTCTTAATAATTAGGGAATTAAATTTTAGTACTTTCATGATAAACTTGATTACAGTTAAAATAAGAAGGAAAAAAGCTGTCTTCATTTTTAAATAAAAAGAAGTTTGAAGTTAGATGACAGCTAAGGTCCCATCCTAATTTTTATTTTTTTGTAACTACCCAGGGACATACATGGTCAGCAATTCCCTAAATAGCCCACTGGATTTATGGCAACAGAGTGATGAAATGATTTTTAATTGAAAATACAGTCTTTTCTTTCAGTCCTCAGCCCTTCTTATTAACATAGGAGATCGGCAAATTTTTTCTATAAAATGCCACATAGTAAATATTTTAGGCTTTGCAGGCCATATGCAAAAATCTGAAACTGCAAAAAATGAAACTATGGATAAGGGGAGACTACTGTATACTTGATATAGTCCTTTGCCAGATGTATGATTTGAAATTTTTTTTCCTTTTTAAGGGTTGTCTTTTTACTTTCTTGATGGTTCCTTTGAAGCACAAAAACTTTTATTTCTCATGAAGTCCGGTTTATTTATTTTTTCTTTTGCACTTGATCTTAGCCAAAAGGCCGAGAAGCGATATATTTTTTCTTTTGTTGCTTTTATAAATGTGTTTTGAAACTGATATTCATGGGAAACTCCTCATATCATAAACAGAAATATCATTTCATTCTTGATTTTAAATTATTGCTTTGTTGATAATATGATACATCTTTATTTCAGTCAAGAGAGGAGAGCAGAAAGCAGGCTCTTGCAGCTAAAAGAGAGAAAAGAAAAGAAAAGAGAAAAAAGAAAAAAGAGGAGCAGAAAAGGAAGCAGGAAGAAGATGAAGAAAACAAACCTAAGGAGAATTCAGAACTACCAGAGGATGAAGATGAAGAGGAAAATGATGAAGATGGTGAGAAATGACCCATCAAATTAGTGATAAAATTCTCCTGTTTAGCAACTTCATTTTGAATACCTTTGATGTAATTAATTCTAGTTAAATATTCAATTACTTTAATCTGAAATTGACAATTGACTCATAGTAAATATTTCTAAACATTTTACATTGTAAAGTGATATAGAGAAATAGGAGGGGGGGGAGACAAACATATTAATTGAGGAAGTTCAATTGTAATTTAAGTCTCCCTGTAAAACGTGTATGTCCTGAAAACAATACAGTGAAAGAGGTATGCCAGGTTCCTCTCTGCTCTCTCCTCCCCCCTCACCCCCTGTTGGAAAATTGGAGAGGTCTGTTTCCTCAATAAATTTTTAGCTAAGGTTCAGACGCAAAGCTCTACAGCACTAGGGTTTTATTATTCGCAAAGAGTTGTTTATTATACAGTGCTTGTAGTAAGCAAATAATCTTGCTATATTTGAATTCTAATTCTAAAATCCTATTTGAAATTTTTTCTAAATTTAAACTATATTGTGATTTTTGGTTAGTTCATGAGACTAACATTTCAGATCTTAAAAGTGTTAACTGTATGAATGTTTTATACCAGTTTAGACATCAAAATAAGATATAGTATATTTGTTCTAATAACAGTAAAGATTTCTTTTTTGTTTGTTTTGTTAATCCTCACCTGAGGAAATTTTTGCATTGATTTTTAGAGAGAGTGGAAGGGAGAGGGAGAGACAGAGAGAGACACATCAATTGGTTGCCTCCTGCACACACCCTGACCCAGGCCGGGGATCGAGCCTGCAACTGATGTATGTGTCCTTGACTGGAATCAAACCAAAGACCCTTAAGTCCTTGGGCTAACACTCTAACCACTGAGCAAGGGCAAGATTTCTTTATTTACTAGTAAATATAGGTATAAGGAAAATATGAGTAAAGGACTAACTTATTATGAAATGTTACAGGTATATATGTAATAATTTATTTTGAGATCTGTGACTCTCAATGTGATCTTTATCCTTTTTGATAATTTCAGTGGAGCAAGAAGTTCCCATAGAACCTCCTAGTGCAACCACCACCACCACAATTGGAATCTCTGCAACATCTGCAACATTCACAAACGCGTTTGGGAAAAAAAGGGCTAATGTGGTGACAACCCCCAGCACCAATAGGAAAAATAAGAAGAACAAAACAAAAGAAACCCCTCCCACTGCACCTTTAATATTACCAGAACAACATATATCCTTAACACAGCAAAAGGCAGACAAAAATAAAATAAATGGAGAACCCAGAGGTGGTGGTGCAGGAGGGAACAGTGATTCAGATAACTTGGACAGCACAGATTGCAACAGTGAGAGTAGCAGTGGTGGTAAAAGCCAAGAATTAAACTTCAGTATGGATGTGAATTCCTCTGGTGATAGGAGATACCCCTCACTGCTACTCCATTCCCAAGAAGAAAAAATAAGTACTGCCACTTCTAAAACTCAAACACGGTAAATTTTTCTAATATGTTAACTCGACATCCACCTGTTGTTGTTTTTCCATGCTTGGCACAATAAGTTGAGGTTTATTCTTCAAGCACAAGTTGTGTTAACAGTTTAAATCCATCTCATTATCTGTCTTCAGTATTCAAAAGTGAAATTTATCAATGTCCTAATGTGCTAATTATAAAATGAGATTATTAAAAATTTTTATGATTTCATTTTGAAGTTGAAAATATTAGCAATATCTTGATTTTCACTATATCACTTTTATTGATTACTAGAGGCCCAGTGCATGAAATTTGTGTGTGTGGGGGGGAGAGCGGGCTCAGTCTGGCCTGCACCCTCTCTCACAGTCTGGGACTTCTTAGGGGATGTCCGCCTGCTGGCTTAGGCCCAATCCCCTTATGGCAGTCAGACATCCCTCTCACAGTCCTGGGCTCTCGCAGTCCGAGACCCCTTGCTCCTTACCACCCACCTGCAGTGGAGGCAGGAGAGGCTCCCACCACCGCCACTGTGCTTGCCAGCCGTGAGCCTGTCTTCTGGCTGAGCGGCTCTCCCCCTGTGGGAGCGTACTGACCACCAGAGGGCAGCTCCTGCGTTGAGCATCTGCCCCTTGGTGGTCAGTGCACACCATAGCGACCAGTCATTCCTCTCATCATTCCTCCATTCGGTCGATTTGCATATTAGGGTTTTATTATATAGGATAGTACAACTTTTGACTTCCAAGTCCATTTTTATACTAAAATAGATGTTGGACTCTTTGTCCTATTTCTATTTTTCTGAATTGTTGATAATTTGATGTGCCAAATTTTAATTCAAGTATTTTAGCATAATGTCCATAATAATCTCTTGATTTTCTAACTTAAAATTTTTCTTTTATTGGATTTGCCATTTCTCTCTTCTCAGACCTGAAGGTGAAGTGAATTCTAGTTCCTTAACAACAAGCTATAAGTCAGTGTCATTGCCATTAAACTCTCCAAACATAAAGCTGAATCTGACTAGCCCTAAAAGGGGGCAAAAAAGAGAAGAAGGGTGGAAAGAAGTTGTACGAAGGTAAGAAAAATTAGTCTTATCTTTTTAACTTACATAGACCAATTAATTAATGAATAATTTGAATGTAGTTATTATTTTAAACTACAGGCCAGGGGTCCTCAAACTTTTTAAACAGGGGGCCAGTTCACTGTCCATTCCTCCTCAGACCATTGGAGGGCCGGACTATAGTTTTAAAAAAAACTATGAACAAATTCCTATGCACACTGCACATATCTTATTTTGAAGTAAAAAATCAAAATGGGAACAAATACAATATTTGTATTTGCATGTGGCCCGCAGGCCATAGTTTGAGGACCCCTGCTGTAGGCTAAAGCAAAATTAGAAGTAATGTATAAATTTTGCATGCATATTTTATAGGAAACAACAAACATTAGATTTAGAATAACAAAAAGTATTTATTAAAACAGAAATTTTTTAAAAACATAAGATGTAGTTTACAAAATGGCCACAAGTTTCTTCTTAAAGGGAAGATTCTATACTTGACAGCAAATCACAATGTTATTAGGGTTATGATGTTTGTTTAATGGTCCCATTTTGATTCAGACATCTAGCTTATCTATTTATAACGTTTAAATAAAGTTAGACTTGGCTAGAGAGCATATTCTGAAAAACTGATTATCTGCTTTTAATGCAATTAGATCATCATAAAAAGGGGGGAAAGGAGCCTATAAATTTAAAACTAACTTCCTCCTCAAAAAAAGAAAAACACCCACACTCCTGCAGCTAACCCTGAAAACTACCTTCACACTGCCTTATACTTAAGCCATGATGGCGGAATGAATAAAAGCAGCGAAAGGTCGCTGCTTTTAAATGTCATACACAATCCAGATGATACTTCTAGCCTCTGTTCACACTTTACAACAGGGAATCAGGACAGACATAGATTTGCAGATGTGCATTTAATCACCAAAGGACTGAAGTTTCTGGGCTTTTATTCTGTAATATTTCCAAGATTTTGTGTCCATAAATGCAAAGAAGTCTTTCAAAACAGGAGACAGGATGCACACTTGATCAGATAGATTTAAGTATTATTCATGGCATATAGCCTACTCCATGCTCTAGCTTTCAGAATATCTAAATATATTCTTCCCAACTTGTCTACATTAAAATAATAATTTTTTATTATTTTGGAGCTGCCATTGGGTATTCTTCTGGAAGGAAGGTTCAAGTTTAAAGGTCTCTCCCTTAAAGGAGGAATTCTAGGGTCTACAATGACCACCTGAAAATAATGGGTGTTATCCTCATCTGGTTGTGCCAGCAAACACTGGGTTTCTTTGATAACCCTGCAGGGCCATCGGGCCATCTTGTCAGATCCCATTATCAGCCTCTAGTCTTCTCTCTGGCAACCACTCACCTCACACACAAGCAGAAGTCCCAGGCTCCGCTTGTGAATTGCTTTTTATGTAGTTCAGATCTGAGACTTTCTTCTTTACTGCTAAGTATAACTTGTTGATATTGATAAGCTAGCCACTGTTTTTCAGTATGAAGTTTAACAATATGGTATGCATTATTTTAATTTAGAAAGAGTCAATACATATGGTCACTGCAGTTTGGCTGACGTGTGATATTTCAGGCAAATTTGAACGCTTAAGCTCATGTGTTGTCTTTGTTTTTTAGGTCAAAGAAATTATCTGTTCCAGCTTCAGTGGTTTCCAGGATAATGGGAAGAGGAGGGTGCAACATCACTGCAATACAAGATGTTACTGGTGCCCATATTGATGTGGATAAGCAAAAAGATAAGAATGGCGAGAGAATGATCACAATAAGGTAACTGTAGAAAATGTATATTGCTAGTTCTATATAGAAATTAAATTTTATTAGAAGCATACTTTTGTTAGTTATAGTAGAATAAAGAATTTTCCTTCATGGCAAAGATTACCTGTGGTTGTTTTTTTATGTTATTTATCTTGTTTTTGTTTTTTCCCCAGGGGTGGTACAGAATCAACAAGATATGCAGTTCAACTTATCAATGCACTTATTCAAGATCCTGCTAAGGAACTGGAAGACTTGATTCCTAAAAATCATATCAGAACACCTACCAGCACCAAGTCCATCCATGCAAACTTCTCGTCTGGAGTAGGCACCACAGCAGCTTCCAGTAAAAATGCATTTCCCTTAGGTGCTCCAACTCTTGTAACTTCACAGGCAACAACATTATCTACGTTCCAGGCCACTAATAAACTTAACAAGAACGTTCCAACAAATGTACGTTCTTCTTTCCCAGTTTCTCTACCCTTAGCCTATCCCCATCCTCATTTTGCTCTCCTGGCTGCTCAGACTATGCAACAGATTCGGCATCCTCGCTTACCCATGGCCCAGTTTGGAGGAACCTTTTCACCCTCTCCTAATACTTGGGGACCATTCCCAGTGAGACCTGTGAATCCTGGCAACGCAAATAGCTCTCCCAAGCATAATTCTACAAGCCGTCTACCTAACCAGAATGGTACTGTTTTACCCTCTGAGTCTGCTGGACTAGCCACTGCCAGTTGTCCTATCACTGTCCCTTCTGTAGTTGCTGCCAGTCAGCAACTGTGCGTGACTAACACCCGGACTCCTTCCTCAGTCAGAAAGCAGTTGTTTGCCTGTGTGCCTAAGACAAGTCCTCCAGCAACAGTGATTTCTTCTGTGACAAGCACTTGTAGTTCCCTGCCTTCAGTCTCTTCTGCGCCGATCACTAGTGGACAAGTTCCCACCACATTTCTACCTACAAGTGCTCCTCAAGCACAACTTTCTTCACAAAAGATGGAGTCTTTCTCTGCCATGCCACCCCCAAAAGAAAAAGTGTCCACACAGGACCAACCCACGGCAAACCTGTGTACGCCATCTTCAACTGCAAATAGCTGTAATAGCTCTGCCAGTAACACGCCAGGAGCTCCAGAAACTCATCCATCCAACAGTCCCACTCCTTCTAACAACACACAGGAGGAGGCGCAGTCATCCAGTGTGTCTGAATTAAGTCCTATGTCAATGCCATTTGCATCTAATTCAGAACCTACTCCATTGACTTTGGCATCACCAAGATTGGTTGCTGCTGATAATCAGGATAACAATAATTTACCTCAATTAGCTGTACCAGCACCTCGAGTTTCTCATCGAATGCAGCCCAGAGGTTCTTTTTACTCCGTGGTTCCAAATGCTACTATACACCAGGATCCCCAGTCTATTTTTGTTACAAATCCAGTTCCTTTAACACCACCTCAAGGCCCACCAGCTGCAGTGCAGCTTTCTTCAGCCATGAACATTATGAATGGTTCTCAGATGCACATTAACCCAGCAAATAAATCGTTGCCGCCGACATTTGGCCCAGCCACACTTTTCAATCACTTCAGTAGTCTTTTTGATAGTAGTCAGGTGCCAGCTAACCAGGGATGGGGAGATGCTCCACTATCCTCACGAGTTGCTGCAGATGCCTCTTTCACTGTTCAGTCAGCGTTCCTAAATAACTCTGTACTTGGACACTTGGAAAATGTGCACCCTGACAACTCTAAGGCACCTGGCTTCAGACCACCTTCCCAGCGAGTTTCTACTAGCCCAGCTGGTAAGTTATTATAACTATCACTGCAGCTCAGGTTGGGGCTCTAACAGCATAATCTAATATTCTAAAATAATAATAAAGAGTTTATTTTGTACATAATATTGCATAATCTTAAAGAAATGAGAATGTGTCATAAATAGTAAAGACCCTTTAATGATTGCTGATTAGGCAAAAAAGTAGCTGTAAGTCAGTCACTCACATATGATGAGCTGCCTTATGCTCTTTATCTGATCTCTCTGTCCCTCATATCAGTGACCTTGTGTCAATCCATTTTCTTAGAATTGGTATAAGATAATATTAATAAAACAAGATTTATAGGATGCTTCAGGGACTCCCAAGTTTTACAGACTTTTTAATTCACAGCGATTGCTTACTTTTCTCAGATTTAAAACGTTTGAGTTACAAAGGTGTTTAGGTACCAGTCCATAATCTTCATTCTTTGTTTCCAGTCTTGGGTATTCAGACCAAATATTAAATGATGTTGTTTAATAATACTCTGTTATTTACATTAGATGGAGCTGGTTGAAGGAATCCATTCATTTTTCTTTATTTTAAAAAGACCAGCTTAGATTTAGCTATTCATTCCTCAAAATCAGAAATTAGTTGCTGAGGAGTTATAAGAAATATATAAGCCCAGTGTTGGCTTGGAGATATTTGGAAAACCAGAATCTATTTTCTGGATTCTAAAAGCCAAATTTCACTCCAATCTGCACTATTCTGAAAAACCAATTAGTAACTGTGGCAGACATATAATAGGGGTAAGTATTACTGCCACTAAACATTTTTACTCCAGTTGGAAAACTGTCCCATACACTATCCTTCCTTTTTGCTAATTATGAATTGATCTATGTTGTTTAAAATTTGTGAGTTTATGGATATGGTAGAGCCTTAGCTTTCATATCTGATATGTTTCATTTACTTGTTTTTTTAGGAAAATGTAGCTGTTGTATCTTCTTTCAAATAGAAATACAACCTTACATGAGACCATCTATGGTCCAAAATATTATCTTAGGATTTTTTTTTCTTTTTTATAAATAGATATCTATTTTAACATTTCATTTTGGGGAAACTGAGGTTCTCAAAGGCCCCAGAATAAAAGAATTCATTGCCAATGCTCAGGCTGTGATAGAAGGCATTATTAATTCTTGACTTGACTGCCACTAATACGTGAATTTATATAGTACCTTAGCCAGAGTTGGACTTCAGAGTTCTAATTTTCCAGTGTTTGAGTCCTTTAGACTTCACATATTACATCCCAGAAAATGTACAGATTATGAATGTCTCGGGGCGGGGGGGGGGGGGGGAGTAAAGGAAATCATCTATTTAGTTTGGTTTTGGGACCTGAATTATTCAGATCCATAATATCAAAATAACTTATTGCTAATTAAAATAATAATAAAAAACAAGCATTAATCCTGGGGTCAACATTTCTTAATTGCCTGTACTATTTCTTTTACTGGTGCTCTTCTCTATGGATAATTTACTCTCCTAGTTTACAAATAAAAATATTTAGGAAGATGAGAAAGGATATGAAAAATTTGAAACCTCAAACACTGCTGGTGGAAATTTAAAATGGTACAGCCACTGGAAAAAGTTTGACATTTCCTCAAAAATTAAACAGTTACCATATGTTCTAGTAATTCTACTCCTAGGTATACCTAAGAGAAGACAAATGTCTGCGCAAAAACTGGTACATAAATGTTCGTAACAGCATTATTGATAATAGCCAAAAAGTGGAAACAACCCACTGCCCCTCTAATGATAAGTGGAGAAACGAAATGTGGTATAGTATCTATAGTAATAAAAGCATAATATGCTAATTAGACTGGACAACCTTCCACACAAAGCCAGGGTTACGAGGAAAGCCCAGTTCCCAGTGCCTGACAGTGGCCGGAGGGAAGCCCAGGTCCTGGGTGCCAGAAGGAAGCCAATGCCGGCAGCTGGGAGAATGTTGTGCATCGGGCCTCTAGTGTCTATATAATGAGATACTATTTTTATTATCATATATATATATATATATATATATATATATATATGATATATATATGATATAATATGATATATATATGATATATGATATAATCATAATCCTATATGATAAAAGGCTAATATGCAAGTCAACCAAATGACGGAACGACCAGTCACTATGATGCACACTGACCACCAGGGGACAGACACTCAGTGCAGGAGCTGCCCCCTGATGGTCAGTGCACTCCCCCTGTGGGGAGCCAGGCTCATGGCTGGCTAGCATAGCGACGGTGGCGGGAGCCTCTCCCGCCTCCATGGCAGTGCTAAGGATGTCTGACTGCTGGAACAGGCCTAAGCCAGCAGTCAGACATCCCCCGAGAGCTCCCGAACTGTGAGAGGGCGCAGCCTAAGTGACCACCCAACCATCCAGTAGTTATGATGCGCAATGACCATCAGGAGGCAAATGCACAGTGGACAGGCATGGAAACATGGAACAGACTGATGAATCTCAGAGGGAAGGGCGGAGGGCAAGAAGAGATTAGCCAAAAATCTTATATGCATACTAGCGGCCCGGTGCATGGATTTATGTACTGGTGGGGTCCCTCAGCCTGGCCTGCGGGAATCAAGCCAAAACTGGCCTAGTGCACAAATTCACGCACCGGTGGGGTCCTCAGCCTGGCCTGCGGGGATCCAGCCGAAACTGGCTCTCCAACATCCCCCGAGGGGTCCCAGATTGCGAGAAGGCACAGGCCAGGCCAAGGGACCCCACCAGTGCACAAATCCATGCACCGGGCCTCTAGTTTCTATATAATCAGATAGATATAATAGAGAGAAAGGAAGTACTGCCCTGGCTGATGTTTCTCAGTAGTTAGAGCATCAGTTGGGGCACCTGTGGGAGGTAACCAGTCAGTGTGTCCTCTCTCACATCATTGTTTCTTCCTCTCTTTCTCTCCCCCTTCCTCCCTTGCCCTCTCTTCCTTCCACTCTCTGAAAAGCAATGGAAAAAATATCCTCAGATGAGGATTAAAAAAAGAAAAGAAAAGAAAGGAAGTACTGATTTATGCTACAACATGGATGAACGTTAAAAACAGTATGCTAAGTGAAAGAAGCCAGTCACAAAAAACACATGTTGTATGATTCCAATTATATGAAATTTCTAGACTAGGCAGGCAATCTATAGAGACAGAAAGTTTATTAGTGGCTACTTAGAGGTGGGGATATGTGGTAAAGGACAATGGAGATTGACAGGTAATGTATGCAGAGTTTCTTTTAGGGTAGGCAAAATTGTTTTAAAATTGATTGTGGTGGTTGCACAATCCTGTGAATTATAGAATTTAAAGACAAACCTCTCGCCCTAACCAGTTTGGCTCAGTGGGTAGAGCGTCAGCCTGCAGACTGAAGGGTCCTAGGTTCTATTCCGGTCAAGGGCATGTACCTTGGTTGCGGGCACATCCCCAGTAGGGGGTGTGCAGGAGGCAGCTGATCGATGTTTCTCTCTCATCGATGTTTCTAACTCTCTGTCCCTCTCCCTTTCTCTCTGTAAAAAATCAATAAAATATATATTTTTTAAAAAAAATTTAAAGACAAACCTCTGAATTATATACTTTAAATATAAATAATACCAGCTTGAAAGAAATTTTGACAGTTTTTTGTTGATATTAACTACTTTTTCCTGAAATGAGCACCTATAATCCTTTTCCATACCCTTGTCCCCTTTCCCAAATACCTTCTCCAGAGAAAGAAATGGAATTTGAGAAGACTGTTAATTTAAACTTATACAACCTAGATAAAAACTTTCATATAATTTGTAACTGGTTTTTATTTATCAGATGGCATACTGGAATTATCTTTAATAGTATGCTTTTCCTCCCTGTTAGGAATGAAACATTAGTAGGTTTTGTTATTCATCTTCCATAAAAAATGACTACAGTATAGATGCACAGCTGCGCTTTGAGATTTTCCCCAAAAGCAGAAGTTATTGATGGGTACCACTTAGTCACAACATACACTCATTTCATGTCCCCTCCAGTGAAAACTGATCTAGCTGGTAACGGCCATTCTTAAACATTGGCATCACTTTTCTATGTCTAGTGCTGTTTAGTGATATCCTTCTGGAATGCAAGAAAAAAATTGGTTTGGGCCATACAGCACATAGTAAATGGGTTATTTTTGCTATGATCTATGAAATTAACTACATGCTTTCTCCTTTTTAAAAAGGAATTAATTGAACCTTGAATTTTCCATTTTAAAGCCTTGGCTAATTTGGATGTCTTGGGCCTGTTTTATTTCAGGGTTACCATCCATTGACCCATCAGGCAGCTCCCCATCTTCCTCTTCTGCTCCTCTGACAAGTTTTTCCGGCATACCAGGAACACGCGTTTTCCTGCAAGGGCCAGCTCCTGTTGGGACTCCTAGTTTCAACAGACAACATTTTTCTCCCCATCCTTGGACAAGCGCCTCAAACTCATGTAGGGATCCTGGAGGAACTCTTCCCAAAAAGTCTTGAATAAGTTATTAAACCATTTGTTTCAGGGAGCCCTATATTTTAACTTTAGTATTCTAAATAGTATGCAAATACCTAAGGTTTGTACTGTAGTCATGTCAAAAATCGTCAGTCATTTGTAGGATAGGAAACTTGAGAAGAGTCAAGCTCTTCTTCCAAGCCAGAAATGTTTACACTGGGACTTGGATCAAGAAAAGAGGTAGTTAAAGTAATTTTATAAAAGGACCGTTTGGGGACAGTATTGTGAAATAATTTCTTAAGTCTGAAAAGAAGTTGAATTTATGTATTTGGTCAGTGTGGTATGATTCCTCATTTATTTATTTATATATTACACTTTAGGCATTATTGCAATTTATAAGTAAAAGTATACCTCTATTCTGACTTATTTATTTCAATATTTTGAATAGATGAAATTCTAACAGTGCTTGAACGGGATTTTTTAATTTTTTATTTTTTTAATGAGCATCATGAGGTAGACAGTGAGTATTGGCCCTTTTGATGAGGAATACTTCCCGTATTACCTGACAGCCCCATTAAGAAACAAAGCCATGAGTTGAATCCTTTGATGCTTTGCTAATATTTAACTTTTCTTCCTTATTGAAAAGAAAAGGACTGTAGAAAGGGAAAAATAAATAAAAACAACTAATAAGTATAGAGGGCCACCAGCTGTTTTCCAGACAGTATGCTAGGTACTGTGCAAACATTGCCACATTTAAGTTAATTTAAAATATGACAATATATATTTTGATAAGATAATTTAGAACTAGAATAAGAATAAATACAGCCTTCTTTCCTAACCTTGCTCAGTTAAATCTGGGAATTTTTTTTAGACTATTTGTTTATACTTCCTATAGGCAGAAGGTAGTGTAGGGTATTGTTTATAGAACTTATATATTCTCATTTGAATGATCTTATAAAATTATGAATTTTTCTTTACAGAACCTTTGTTTTGGAATAGATCTTTCCAACAAGGTTTCTCATATTCTTATCATTAGTTTTTATATGTAATAAAACAATAGAGAAATATTTTGCCACCAGGTGACTCTCCTATTCCATCTGTTTCTTCGGGATCATCTTCACCTCTTTCAGCCACTTCTGCCCCACCAGCATTGGGCCAACCAAAAGGAGGCAATGCCAGTCAGGATCGAAAGATACCTCCCCCCATTGGAACAGAGAGACTAGCCCGGATTCGGCAAGGAGGGTCTGTCGCACAAGCCCCTGTGGGGACCAGTTTTGTCGCTCCTGTTGGACACAGTGGAATCTGGTCATTTGGTGTCAATGCCATGTCAGGTACAGTTACCTTGCCCTCTGTCTGGAGGGATATCTCAAGAAAATTGTGGGATTTTGCCATTAAAACTTAGTTCCTTAAAAGTAAAATTAAAAATATATATATTTTCAACACTTAACAATCAGTAGTGGTGTTTATACTTTTGAAGAATTCAACCCAGTCTCAGGGTCTGGAATGTTATGTTATATTTTATATAATACTAGAGGCCCAATGCACAACATTGGTGCACTGGAGGTGGGGGGGTCCCTCAGCCTGGCCTGTGCCCTCTTGGGAGGCAGTCGGACATGCCCCGAGGGGTTCTTAGCACTGCAGTGAGCCAGCTTCTGGCTGAGCAGCACTCCTGCGGTCAGCGTTTGCCCCCTAGTGGTCAGTGTGCATCATAGCAACTGGTCGTTCCACTGTTCAGTCGATTTGCATATGAGGGTTTTATTATATAGGATATGTAATATATAATAATAATATGTGATCTGTATAAAATAACAAATAGAGAATTGATTAGAAGTAAAAGATTCAAAGTGTATTTCCTTTCTTTCTCAAGTTTTTCCATGTAAAATGGGACAATCATTTGAGTTCTTTCTCAAAGCACCTAATCTTTTGGACAAGGTAGACTGTTTGGGTACTCAAAGGACTTCACCCAGTTTTCCAGGAACTGGGTTTTTTTTTTTTTTATTTGAAGAGGTTATTATGAACATACCCTGAGATCTTCAGGAGAATCATTTTGGTAAAATTAGTATGAAAAAATATCAAGTGGTAATGTTCATTATTTTACCCAAATAAATATCAAACCCTGTTTTCAATTCTTCTTTCCAGAAGGCTTATCAGGTTGGTCACAGTCTGTGATAGGGAACCATCCAATGCATCAACAATTATCAGACCCAAGCACATTCTCCCAGCATCAGCCAATGGAAAGAGATGATTCTGGAATGGTAGCCCCCTCTAACATTTTTCATCAGCCTATGGCAAGCAGTTTTGTGGATTTTTCTAAAGTGAGTTGACAAATATCATTGTAACTTGTTTAATTCTTTGCCAGCCAATGTAGTCACATGTTAAGGAATATTTGTATTGAAATAATTATCCCTTTTGGTGGAACTAGTTTGTTTCCATGACTTTGCCAGATCCTTTATCCAATTTCAAGAGTGGATTGTGTTGTCTCCAGTAGTTTGTCCTCAAACTATCCTGAAGATGCCCCCATCTTCCCAGAAAGTCTGAGAAATTGGATTTTGCTGCCACAGCTTTAGGGCAGCCTCTCCCCCTCAAAAAGCTGGCTGCCAGCTTCCTAGTGCCCTTTTGTCTGCTCTGAGAGCTTTCTGGCTGCCATAAAGCCAGGTTATGGCTGCAAGCAGTCATAGAGAGTTCCACCTTACTTCTTAGTACAAGCTTATTAGTGAAACTAAAATATGGTAAAATTGAGGTATTATATGTGTTCATCAAATATAGGAAATTTCCTAATGATTTGATAGTGGATTTAGTTGTTTTTTTCTCTTCTTGTTGAAAAGTGTTGATGATGCAGATAACCACTTTTGGTTTCTCAACACTGTATCGTGCTGAACTTACAGTATCCTCTGGAGTTCTTTGAATGAAGGAAAACTAAAGAGATTGGTATTATGGAATCATTTTTATAATTACTTGATGGTTAAACCTTTCATTCTGCTGTTTTAGGGTCTGCCAATTTCCATGTATGGAGGCACCATAATACCCTCACATCCTCAGCTTGCTGATGTTCCAGGAGGTCCTCTATTTAATGGACTTCATAACCCAGATCCTGCTTGGAATCCCATGATAAAAGTTATTCAAAATTCAACTGAATGCACTGATGCCCAGCAGGTAAAATTGACTTAATAGTCTTTTATTTTTTCAGATTTTTCATGTCATTCTTTGGGTAGTACAAGTTCTAAATGTCAAAAGTCATGACATCTGATTACCTTGCTCTGAATTAAGTTTTTCAATATCAAGATGATGCTACTCAGCATTTTTTTTCATGTGTATGTATTCTTCCTAGGCAGAAACAGAATTGCCATTGCATTTATATATTCATTTTGTAAATGTCTAAAGATTCCTAATTAGAAATTCCAATTTTTCCTCCCCCTTTTCAGATTTGGCCTGGCACGTGGGCACCTCATATTGGAAACATGCATCTCAAATATGTCAACTAAGTTAGAAGGTCTTATTCTTTAGCCTTGTTTGAGAAACCTATGATCTTGGAAGAACCCCGGGGATTTTTTTTTTTTTAATGTGCCTAACTAAGAAATTTTCTCTGAGGCTTTAGCAATGGAAATTTGATTGTCCATTGTATAAGAACAAAGTGATTTCCTATCCACCTGATTATGTTCTGTGGTTAGTTTAGCCATTTTTGAACTTAGTGCTTTGGCTAAACATACTGAATGCTACTTTTATGAAGAAGAGAATTAGATGATTACCTTTTAGGGTGGTAAATACATGTACAGTTGTTTACATACTTAAAAGGAAAAAGTTGAGTAAATTTCTTGTCATATAGTGGCTCTACTTAATGTAGCCTGTATTAATGTGAAATATTTACCAGAATATTCAATAAAAAGATGAACAGTGTTTAGAAGTGGGGTGTGATCCTTTCAGTAGTCATGCAGGTACCACCCAATCCACAGTCATATTAAACCAGGTTGTTAGTACTATATTTGTAAGAGGCCTCTCACATTTTACACTTTAGAGTCCATTCTCAAACTGCCTTGAAAAACGCTCTTTTAAGACTAGTTATCTACTTATTCTATATTAAACATTCCTTGTTCTTTCTCTTCCATATCATTTTATAAGTGAAAAAGTTTCAAGCCCCTGCAATGTTTCTTATCAGACATTAGCAGATTGATAGGTCATTGACAGGTTTTAGCTCTTTATGGATCATGACTATGTCATGAAGAACAATAGGATTTCAATCAGATGATACTGAACAAACTACACCCAACTATCAACTTCAGGCTCCTTTTGTGCATCCTGACTTTTTAATCTAAATATTTTGGTTTTATGTCTTTTAAGTTTTGTTTGGGTTGGGACATAGAAGGGGTCAGAGATGGCTCCTATAATTCTGTTGTATTGTTGAATCAGCTGAGTAATGCTTATAAATATGTGACTAATTCTGGGCTTAGTTTCAGAATTAGTCCCAAGTATGAAGAGCCAATATGTTTAACAAGCTAATCGTAGGAATACTGGGATTTACTGCTTTGGCCAAACCATAGGCTAAGCCGAGAATCTGATGCAGTAGGATCTGAGTTGCATAGCTCGGTTAGAGCATCATCCCAATATGCCAAGGTTGTGGGTTCTATCCCCAGTCAGGGCACATACAAGAAGCAACCAATGAATGCACACATAAGTGAAAGAACAAATCAGTGTTTCTCTCTCACTCTCTCTCCTATCCTCTCTCTCTCTCAAAAAAAAGAACCATTGCCCTAGCTGTTTTGGCTCAGTTATTGGAGCATTGGCCTGAGGCCTGAAGGGTCCTTGGTTCAATTCTGGTCAAGGACATGTATCTTGATTGTAGAGTTGATCCCGGGCTCTGGTCAGGGCTTGTGTGGGAAGCAACCAATCAATGTGTGATATGTCTCTCTCACATCGATATTTCTCTCTGTCTCTCCCATCCCTTCCACCCTCTCTAAAAATGAAAAACAATATCAATGGGGAAAATATCCTCGGGTGAGAATTATAACTAAATCAAGCAAGCAAGCAAGAAAATGTTTGAGGCTGATAGAGAAGCCAAAGCTCATATCAAGGCAAAGAAGGATGCACAGACAAAAAATAACAACAACAAAAATCAACCAAAAAAAGAAAAAAAAGGATGCACAGAAAAATAGTCATTAGGGGTAGAACCATGCAAGCAGCACTTTTCTACTGTTATACCAACAGTTATTCTTAATCTTCTCTGCCTGGCTCCTAGAGCCACCACTAGATGAGACACAGCATGTTTATTCTGTGTGGGACATACCTGCTTCTTTGTCTTCCATATCATCTTACATATGAGAACTTCCTTAAGCTCATGCCTTATTTTCTAATTTGAGTGGATTTGGAGCATATATATCACTGGTATTGGAAGATTTTGCCTTTTGTCATGCTTGAAAACTACATCGTGTTCTCAAGAGACCCCCTTACCTTAAAGAGGGTAAAAGACCCCTTTGATCACCTACATATTCTGCTGTTTCCATTTATCAATAACAAAAAAATCACCTATTATTAGTGAAATGAATGAAATGACTCTTGATGAAACATATACCAGTGAGAGATGATATTAAGTAAATTATTATTTGGGACAAAAAGGTGAGTTTTGTTCTATCTTAACTATCTATAATGCATTTGAATTATCTGGAAGAGCCCTTTACCCTATCTTCTGCACCTTGAGAACAACAGAAATGAAAAATTATATCTCAGCTCAGGAACTGGAACCCATGAGAAAGAGAGGCAATTATGAGAAACCCCCTAGAAGAATGAGGAAGAAATAGAAGCTGTATAGTTAGTAGTAGTTATTTATCCTCCTCCCTGCCTCTTACCAGCACTGCCTTCTTTCTGACCATTTGGATCCCAGTAGCCTACTCCCCATCCCATTTTGCCTGCTATAACCTCTTCTTCCTCTGTCTTGCCTCTTCCTGGTATTACTTCACTGCTATTTTACCAACCTGAACCTTGGATTAAACCTAGCTCAGGTAAGGACTTAATTACTTTCAAAATATACAAGGGGGATACTTACCTGGTAGGGGAGATACCATGATACAAAATATACAAGGGATTTTGGGGGAGGCAGCCTGGGTACAGTGGAACCAGAGTCAGAAGCCTAAATTATTTCCATTTCTGCCACTTGAAGCTATATGACCTTAGGCAAATCATTTCTTATTTCTGGGTTTCACTTTCCTCATCTGAAAATGAAATTGAATATATTGAACCCAATAGTCTCCTAGTTCTAATACAGATTCTCTCCCTTTTCCTGTGAATGAGAATATATGGTATATTCCAGAATATTGGAAGCCAGTAAAGTGTTTACATTGCTAAAGTTTGAGAGCTCCTACCATTGATTCTCACATGGAATAAAAGCCTGCTGTTGTGGAGTCCATTATTGATTTTGAGATTTTAGTGGAGGAAGAAGAAAACCTTGCACATCAATAGTGAGCCCTCAAGTCATTAAGAAACATCCTGCTGAGACATAGATCAAACCCTATGAGAATAACACCTCTTTCAAGGAATAAAATGATATGATCAAGGTTTCTGGACCCACTTATTTGAGTAGTGTTCAATGTAAAAAAAAAAAAAAATCCAATGTAAAAATAAAATAAAATTGCTGATGTTTTAAGACCCTATAAACCTGTTGTGGCTACAGTGTGCTGACTTGCCCTTTTATAGGCCAGTCTGCTTCCTTCAGTCCCTGCTCTCAAAGGGGAAATCCCACCACCTCAGCTAACCAGAGTGAAGAAGAGAGTTGGACAGCCAATCGTGCCCTCTCCTAACCAGAGGTAAGAAATCTCAGGACTTGGAACTACAGCTTCTATCTGTTCTTATAGATTCTGGTCAAATCCTCCTTCAGACCTCAAAATTAGTATATGAGGGGGTCATCGTATGCTTGAGGTAGCTTGTAGAGGAGAAAGGCTGGTCATATAGTTTCAAGCCAAACAGAGAGGCGCGTTTTGTTTACATGGTTCTGTCCCACTGTTTAAGTAAGACCTTTGGACCACATTGTGATCCCAGGAAGAGGCAAACAAGTCTGTAGGAAAACAGCTTCTGAACACCTTGTTCTCTAACTAGCCCTAGATGTCTTCTACCAAGAAGTGTGGCTGGTTGTGACGTCTTCCAGTGGACCCTGCCCTGGGGTGAGGGGCTCTGATAATGCTGCATTTTCTATTCATTCTCAAAGATTTGTCACCATTTGTCAACAAGCAGGTTCCTTTACCTTCAAACTCCTGTTAGGAAATGGGTGAGAAAAAGATGGTTTTAATTATCCACAACTTAAGTGTGTTAAGACCACTACCAAAAAAGGGCAGGAGCCTGGGATTCAAGACCTAATTTTGAAAACAAATCAAGAATCTAATGATCCAATTGCAAACCTGTTTTCTGATTACTTTTCAACTCCCGTTTTATCTTGATGGTATTGTCCCTTGGTGTATGAACAGAAGATTGGTTCCAGGACTCCCTTTGGATACCAAAATTTGAGATGCTTAAGTCCTTTATGTAAAATGGCATCGAATAATGCATACTGTTTAGCCCTGTGGATTCAAAACCTGGGGATATGGAGGGCAGACTGTATATTGAAAAAAATCTGCACAGTTCAAGGGTCAACTGTAATTTGTCTGGTGGCAGAGACCTGATATTTCCTTGTAGGTTTAGGCCAATCTCTGGGTTTGGGGCATGGGTATAGGTGTTTGTTTTTTTAAAGTTCCCATACTCTAATAGGTAATCAGTATTGATCCATATTGCATAGATGATGATCTGGCTTTCTCTAAAGCCACTACCTATTCTCTAGTTCCCTAGCCCTTACAGCACACAGTGTCTGAAGAAAAGTAAGCTACCAGCAGTCTTATAATAGTAGTACCTGCTGCTGCTATTTTGTAGTATGGATTAACAGAAGGGAGACCTCATTTCCACACTAATCCTTCTTGGAAGCCACTTACACTTCTCTCCTAGTTCTCCTCCTCTGGCTGATCTTTCTCAGCTTCTTTTGGTGAATCCTCTTCCTTCACATGTTGATGTGCCCAGGCCTCTTTCGTTTATCTTCTCACCAAATGATATCTTACCCCTTGCTCTAGGATTTCACTCCACTCAAATCTGCATCATTGGCTCAAAGTTCTCTGAACTTCAGACCAGTGTATCTAGTTCCTTGCTCTGCTTCTCCATTCCATGCACATCAGACATCCCCAATATAAGATAAGACCTTTCCCTTGTGTTCTCTGTTATATTAAGTGGTATTACTAGCTACAAAGATCTCAAGTCAGGAGATTGGGAGATTTATCCTCATTTATCTCCCTCCCCCTTACCCTACCCTTAATCAATCACCTTATCATTCCTCCTCTGTTTATCTGGATCCCTTCCACTTCTCTCAATCCTCACAGTTACTGCCCTTTTGCCTACCCCATTTCACTAGACTGGAGTCTTCACCTTCAGTCCCACTGTTCTCCATCCCATCCCCCTTCCCCCCACCAGACTACTTACTTGCTTAAAAGCTTAGTTGTCAGAAATGGCTCCTCGTAATCTGCTCCCACGCTTTACCCTCCAGCACTGCTAAGACACTTTATTTAAGTATACACTACTTTGTAAGAGGTTTAAAAACATCTTTAGAACATAAAATATATAGATCCTTGATCCCTGAAGTGTGATTCTAAGGACCTGCTGAACCAAGGGTCTGCATCACCCAGGATCTTATTAAAAACCCAGAATTTCAAGTCCCACCCCAGACCTTTTTCAGAATTCTCTTTTTTTAAAAAAATATATTGATTTTAGAGAGAGAGAGGGAGAGAGAGAGATAGAAACATCAATGATGAGAGAGAATCATTGATTGGCTGTCTCCTGCACGCCCCCTCCTGGCGATCAAGCGCCCACCCAGGCATGTGCCCTTGGCCGGAATCAAACCAGGGACCCTTCGGTCCACAGGCCTACGCTCTACCTATTGAGCCACACCAGATAGGGCCAGAATTCTCATTTTAACAAGCTCTCCAGTTATTTATGTGCACTAAAGTTTGAGAAGCTCTGACTTGTAAAATAGTCTTTCTTTTTTTAATTAATGAGTGAAGGAATCAGAGCCAAGGGGAAATCTTACGAAGCCAGAGCTGAAGTAATATTGATAAATGCATGAAGTCAGTTGGTCTGTACTTTATTTGGAGGGTAGGGGGTGTGGAGGTACACTGATTTTAAAGAAGCCAGAAAACAACTGGATGAAGTGATTTTTAGTGTATATAGGTACTAGACTTATTCTCCCACCACCTCTCCTTCCTCCTTTTATATCACTGTGCATCAAAAAACCTTCTAAGGCCTGACTCTCTGGCCTTCCTTTCCAGAGAGTGAAGGAACAAGCACTCGTCACTCGCCCCCTGCCCTTCCTTAGTTTCCTCAGGTTAGGTTAGCTGTGGCTGACAGATCAAAGAGCAGGCCTCTCCTATCCCCCAACCTTTATTCATCCTTCCAGGTATCACTCCTTCCAGAAAACCCACCCTCCATGCCTGCCCTCCCCACTTCAAGCTGTGTACCAGGCCTTCAAGGCACTTTTCACCCTGTACTGTAATTGATTAATGGCAGGCAGTACTCAGCTGCGCTGAAAGGCACAGGCACTGGAATCAGATACAGTCAGGTCTGCATCCCAGCTTCCTGGGGCTCCTAGAAGATATGTGACTTTGAACCAGTGACTTAATCTCAGGATTTTAGTTTCCTCTCCTGTAAAATGTGATTTACTGTCTTAAACTGTTTAAAAGGAATGGGTGAATTAATATATGGCAGTAAGGTGTGCCTCACTTGTCCCCAGCGCCCAGCTGTAAACAGTGACTAGTAAATAACTGAGCGATTGCAGGACTCAGAGGGTGGCTTGCCAATCAATGCTGGGCCAAAAAAGAACTCCTTCCAACTTTTACTGAGCCACGGGCTTGCTCCCTCGAGGGCGGAACCTCACGTTGAGTGACGGCCGGTGGCCCGCCCCGGGCGTGACGTCGACCGAATGTTGTGGCTGCGGCCGCACGTGGTCGGCAGAGTCCGCCTCAGACTGCTGCGTTCCGCGTCTTCAGCCGCTTGCCTTCCTGCTCATCTCGCTCGCTATGTCCACGTTCACGAGCTGCCCGATTCCCGGGGGCAGAGACCGGCTGCCCGACTGCTACAGCACCACGCCGGGGGGCACGCTATACGCCACTACCCCGGGAGGTCAGCAGGCCGGGCTGGGGTCCTCAGGGAGCGGGCTGGACAGCGCGTGTGTGCTGTGGAGGGCAGGGGTGGGGGCAAGGGTGGGGGCGGTGCGGACTTGCACTCGTGCGCAGGCCCCTCTCATGGTTGTGGCTTGGGGAAGGTGGAGGAGGGCGGGTGGAGCCCAAGCCTAGTTTCCGGGTGACTCGGGCTGAAATCCTCACTGGCCTGGGTTCTGGGCGCTTTGCTTACCCGCCTCTCCCGACTTTGCCACCTGGGAGGCCGAAGCCCCAACTGAGGGTGGCTTCAGCAGGAATCACCAGGTTTTGCAAAGTTGCTAGATCGGGCCGTCAGTTAGGGGCATGGGCTTCGGTTTATCTGTGGCTGGCTGGCTGGCGGCTGTTTGATTGGACAAGCAGCCTGGGATTATGAGCTGCTGGGCTTCCCACCCAGGGCTTCCTGCCACGTGGAGGCTGAGGGGAGGGCTGAGAACAAGGGCAGGGCCCTTTGAGGACAAGATTAGGTGCCAATTTCCTCTAGGCTGGGCTGAGCCTGATAGGACTTGGGAGGGGTCAGGATAAGAACAGTATGTCCCCGTTTCACTCGGAACACAGCTCCTCCCCGCAGGATATCAGTCCAGGTGACACTGGGTGAGCCGCCTTCACATCTGTTATTTGGTTTCCTGATCCAACTAAGGCTGAAAGTCTAGGCCCCACCGTGTGAAACAGCAATGAAGTTGCAGAGCCAGAGAAGAGCAGCCCGAAGTACCTGAGCTCCAAATTTGGTTCTCCACCTAGAGCCAAGACCTGAAGCTCCCCTAAACCCGTGGTCGGCAAACTGCGGCTCTTTGGCCCCTTGAGTGTGGCTCTTCCTAAGCCTTAGGAGTAGCCTAATTAAGTTAATAACAATGTACCTACCTATATAGTTTAAGTTTAAAAAATTTGGCTCTCAAAAGAGATTTCAATCGTTGTACTGTTGATATTTGGCTCTGCTGACTAATGAGCTTGCCGACCACTGCCCTAAACCAAAAGCTCCTGCCTGGGCCAGCTGGGATGGCCCACTTGCTTAGCCATATCCTGGTTAGGACTGGAAATCTTTAAGTGCTGTGAATGCTAATCACCTGAGATCCTGGCTGGACTGCAGAGCTGTAGCCCTTTAAAACACAAGGAAATGTGACCCCCAAGGTCCCCAAAAGGCCTTTCCGGGGCCCCAGACAGCTCTGTACCCAAGCTCCTGCCTCTTACGTAGCCCCTACCCCTTGACAGGCACCAGGATCATCTACGACAGAAAGTTCCTGCTGGAGTGCAAGAACTCACCCATTGCCCGGACACCCCCCTGCTGCCTCCCTCAGATTCCCGGGGTCACAACTCCTCCAACAGCCCCATCCTCCAAGCTGGAGGAGCTGAAGGAACAGAAGGAGACAGAGGAAGAGATACCCGGTAAGGAAAGCAGGAACTGACTTAAAATTAAGAAATGCCTGAGTCCAAATACCCTGGTTTAGAGTGGGGGTTCAAGTCTGAGTGGTTTCTGCACTAAAGCTGAGTGTGTAGACCAGGGGTCCTCAAACTGCGGCCCGCGGGCCACATGCAAATACAAATATTGTATTTGTTCCCGTTTTGTTTTTTTACTTCAAAACAAGATATGTGCAGTGTGCATAGGAATTTGTTCATAGTTTTTTAAACTATAGTCCGGCCCTCCAACGGTCTGAGGGACAGTGAACTGGCCCCCCGTTTAAAAAGTTTGAGGACCCCTGGTGTAGACCCTCAGCCCAGCAACCAGTCCTCCTGCCTTTTCTCTCTCCAGATGACGCACAATTTGAAATGGACATCTAATCCAGTGCAGATGACCTGTGTGTGGAGTTACAGGAATCCCTCATGCTGCCGCTGCCACCACCTCTTCCTGGGGTATCCAAAGACCAGCTGGCCTCATCTAATCTGGGAGCGCTTGGCTCTGGGCCTCCCTTAGTTCTGAGGCAGCTAGACCAAGGATAAGGAGTGGGCGCCTTGCCAAGCCCTTAACTCTACTTTCTGTTCGGTTTATAGGCACTCCTCTCAACCCCCAGCCTCCCACTCTCAGGCTGAGGCGAGGATTGGGAGAATGGAGTATGTCACTGTCTCACTGCTTAGTAAAATATTCAAAGAAATGCCTTGGCTCCAGTGTTCTCAATGCTAATCCTCCCATCCCAGCCACACAGCTGAGGGCCCCAGCAGACCTGGTTAGGAATAGAGGTCCAGTTACTTCCCAATTCAGATTGAGCCCACTTCCAGAAGCAATTAGAGCCTGTGGCAGGCTATGGGGGCAAGCTACAGAAGCTATCAAATCATAAACAGCGCTAGCCTGACCCCTGCCAAGGGCTGTTGCAGCCTTCCTAAAATCAGGCCTCTCCCATTACTCCTCCCTCCGTCCATACCAAACCAGGAAAAAAGAGGCACTGCTCTAACCTTTTAGCCACCTCTGATCTCTCCCCATGCCTCTTCTGCCTCCCAGTTATAAATACCAATTCCAATCTCCTTATTCCAGCACTGAAAGCCTGCTCTAGACCTTCTCACAGGCCCCCTCAACCTGACTCGTCTTCGAAAAATAGACCTTAGAACCCACATTGAGGCCCAAACTGAGGCAGCAGCTAATTTCTAAGTCATATAGAGTCATAATTATATCCCCTCTCCCAAGAAAAGTCATGATCCCATATTTCAGGAATGTGGTCTTTTTCTCCTCCAATGTATTTAGCTATGTTCTAATATCTGATTCTAATCTCTTGCATACTCAAGAGTGATACAGTGCAAACAAGGCAATCTTTTCTTGAGGGAAAATTCCCCCCATGCTATTTGAACCTCTCTTCTCATGCTGAAATGAAATCATACAAAGATAGGGTTACTCAGCCCAGCAAGGGATATGCATTTAGTTCTGATTTGGGAAAAAGTGTCAAGACAGTAATCTGGTCATGCCTAGTAAGGCCATTCATGATGAATGGAGGAAGAACAGAAGTTTGCAGGGTGCAGAGCGAGCCAGAAGTGACCAGTTTGGCATAAGAAGGGTTTATCTCCTAACCAGGGGCCACATTGAGATGTTTTTATTGAAACATATGTTAGAGAAGACAAGTGACCACCCTGTGGTCTAGATGGGACCTCTTCCCCCAGAGGTGGGTCAGGCCAAGGAACCCAACAGGGCAGACAGTCTCCCAAGTGCTAAGAGGGAGCCAAGGGAGACAAGGCCTCCCATGCCAAGGCATAGGAGATGGTGTGAGGTGAGTCTGGGGACCCATAGGATTATGGATCCTGTTCTGGTACGGTCTGGTTCTCAGATGTGGCTGCAGCTCTCTCTTCATTAGCTGCCTCCTCTGAAGACAGACTCCTCTTTTCTGCAATTAATCTTTTAACTCCCACCATCCACTGACTGACTTCAGTCACATGGTCAACCATGAGCGAGCGGTGGATGTCATCTGCTGCATCCCACTGATGGCTTGAAAGCTCTGAGGAGAGAGAGAAAGAGGCTGAGCAAGCAGTCTGGGGCAACAGACAGCTCCCACTCCTCCCCTCAAAATCTCACTACCTATTCCAGCTTAGCCAACTACGGCAGGATAAGGAACCGATACCTTGCACCAGCAGAGCCATCCTCTTCTTTACAGGCGTTGACAGCTTCCCTCCAGCCCACTGTTCTTGCAGCAGAGCCAGGCGTCGGCTGATGTCATCACATACCTGCTTCTGAGAGACAGAAAGCCCTGCAAGTCAGTGCTGCCACAACAGGGGCAAAGGAAACCTAGCACCACATAGGAAGCACCTGCTTTCTCTGGCCCAGGAACTTTACACTTAATCTTAGCGTTCTGGTTCTTTACCCAAAGATTAGAGGCCCACTAAGAATTTGATGAAACTTATAGATCTATTTTCAAGATAAATGCATGTAAGGTGAGAATTTTAAGCTTTCTTAGACGCTCAAAAACTCATTTTATAGTGCTACTTTACAAATAAGGAAACTAAGAACCAAACAGGTGAAAATTATTATGCTACTTTCCTTTAAGATTCCTCAAATCCCTTGTCTCCAGAGAACTTAAACACTATAGACAGAAAAAGAGGGTTTCCCTCCCTCCCTGAACACAAAATTAGCAAGGCCTGCTCTGAATGGCCTAGAGGTATCATAATCGGGCTGTTGATCACTAATGGGAGTTAAATTCAACTTTCATACCCACAAGCCTCTTCTGACTGGTCTCGAGAAGTGCCTTGAACCCTCCTGAAACCCTGTGTTTATTTTTCTGGGAAGGCCTTAGATTCCAAAGGAGTCCATAACTTGAACGGGTTAAGAGCCACTGCCCATAGGACCACAGGGTCTACCTTTGGGAGCCATACCTGCATCTGGCTGTCAATAGGAACCCTCCCCATCATCCCACCAGAGTGCCAGGGTTTACCTTTGTGTGGCCACGACAATCATCCAATGCCTGTTCCAAAGGTCTCAGCACATCTTCCAACAGAGTCTCACACTCAATGACTGGAAAATCTATGGGATCCACAGTGGAGGCGGGACAACTCCCCACAGCTGGGGGCCTAGAAGCTGTACTTGAAGAAGGTGGAGGCCCCATTGGGGAGGGCCCAGGAGAAGTCTCTGAGGTAGGGACTGAAAAGGTAAAGCAGGATCAAACAAACACAGGCATAGCTGCTGAAATAGTTTGTAAGAAGCTCAGCTCTCTTGAGACAACTCATTCACTGAAAAATACATATTTATGAAGTCCCTACTATGTGCCAGACAATGTGTGAGGCACCAGCGAGAGTAGTAAACCAGGCATATTAGGTTCCTGATATCAGAGAGTTTAAATTCTAGAGGAAGTGGGGGGAAGGGGGGACAAGAAAAATCACCAAATTATGTTGCATGCTACAAAAAAAATGGATCAAGTGAATAAGAGGAATACAGGGACCTACCTAGAAGGGCACCTAATTTTATTCCAGCCCACCCACAATGTGACATTTGGCAAGTTACTTTTAACCTCTGAGCTTGGGTTCCTCGTCTATAAAATGGGGATATTACCATAATAGCACTGACTTTACAAAGTTTCAGTGATGATTAAGACTATAGATACAGGCCCTAGCCGGTTAGTGGATAGAGCATCAGCCTGTGACTGAACAGTCTCCAGGTTTGAGGGCTCAATCCCCAGTAGGGCGTATGCAAGAGGCAGCTGATCAATTATTCTCTATCATCACTGATGTTTCTATCTCTCCCTCTCCCTTTCTGAAATAAATAAAAATATATTTTACAAAAAGAATATAGATACAACTGCTAGATTAGTGTGTAGCAAAAAGCACTCACAAAGTTAAGAACTAATGGATGAGATAGATGCAGCCATGAAAAGTTAAAGGAAACAAGTACTAGATAGAGGTAAGGGCAGTGCCCAAGAGGCAGGAAAAGTCAAGATGTTAATTCTGTATGCTCTGAAAAATTGATGAGAATAGGTTAAGAATGGAGGCGGGGACACCAATTGGGAGGTTAATGGAGTAGTGGTCCTGGAAAGAGAAGAAGCTGGCATGGACTCGTGTGAAAGACTAGAGATGAGGATAAATGGAGTGGTCCGATTTACTTAGGAGGGAAACACAACAGGACTTGGTGGATTGGGGGTGAGGGAGAGGAGTCAAAGATGACCTGGTTTCTGACTTGAGTAATGGGATGGTGGAACCACTACAGAAAAAGACTAGAGGAGAAAGACCAAGAATTTAGTCTTAGGCATCAACATCCACATGAAGGGGGTGGAGGTCCCATGGGGAGGAGGGGGTGGTCAGGAGAAATCTCTGAGGTGGGGACTGAATAATTTGGCCTCGGTTTCTTGACCTCCTCACCTTCAGTGATCATTTTTTCCACCCTACCTTGGCCTCATTCCCCTCTGCTGTGTTCCCAACAGCACTGAACCATCTCTAAAATCTGATCACCCCTTCTACCCTTCCAGCTCAGCTACTCAGATTTAACCAGACATTAAAATCACTGCCTTATAAACACTCTTACCTCACTTAACTGTCCCATTTTCCTGGTAAACACAACTTGCCTACACTTGTTGGGAGGAAAAATAAAACCATGCTGAGGAGTTACCACTTTAAATCCATGACTACAGCCCTGGCTGGTTGTCTCAATGGATAAAGCGTTGGCCTATGGACTGAAGGGTCCTGAGTTCTTATCCAGTCAAGGGCATATGCCTGGGTTGCTGGCTCAATCCCAAGTGGGGGGCGTTCAGAAGGAAGCCAATCAATGATTCTCTCTCATCGATGTTTCTATCTCTCCCTCTCACTTTCTGAAACAAAAATATATTTTAAAAAAAATTTTAAATAAATAAATCCACAGCTACAGATTTCAAAAGGTATCCAATGCTGCTTGGAAATCCTATACTTTGCTCATTTTCCCACTCTTTGGAACAACTATTTTCACATCTTACCTCCTCTAAACTTTCTACCCTGCCCCCTTCTTTTTGTTTTTTTTTTTATATATATTTTATTGATTTTTTTACAGAGAGGAAGGGAGAGGGATAGAGAGTTAGAAACATCGATGAGAGAGAAACATCGATCAGCTGCCTCCTGCACATCTCCTACTGGGGATGTGCCCGCAACCAAGGTACATGCCCTTGACCGGAATCGAACCCGGGACCCTTCAATCAGCAGGCCGATGCTCTATCCACTGAGCCAAACCGGTTTCGGCCTGCCCCCTTCTTTACCTTTCCCTGCTGTCTCTCTACTTATGATGCTGCCTCATATTTCACTGAGAAAGTAGTCATTCAACAGGAACTCTCATATTCTCACTACCAGTTCTAACTCAACCACATTAGTGGCCACTTTCTTCCTCTTTCAAAAGATGAAAGGTGTCTGCTCCTATCAGAGGCCATCTCTCTAGCTGAACTCTGCACCCAGCCTCTCTCGCCTTCTGCAATTATCCCCTTTCTCCTGCACCATTAGTTCTCCCTCTCAACTGAACCATCCCATCTGCACACAAAACACACCAAAGTATACTACCTTAAAAACCCTCCCTTACCTCAAATTCCATCTTCAGGTACCCACGCCCTTTCTCATCTCTGCTTCAAGCAGAATTTAAAAAAAAAAAAATGTTTTTATTGATTTCAGAGAGGAAGGGAAAGTGATAGATAGAAACATCAATGATGAGAGAGAATCACCGACTGGCCACCTCCTGCATGCTCCCCGCTGTGGGGATCGAGCCCACAACCCAGGCATGTGCCCTTGGCTGGAATCAAACCTGGGACCCTTTAGTCCACAGGCTGGCGCACTATCCACTGAGCCAAACCGGCTAGGGCCAAGCAGAATTTCTTGAATGAGTGGGCTATAGTTACTTCTCGCTCTTCTCACATTCTCACCTCATCCCATCCCAGCAGGGTCTCTGCTCTCATCACTCCACATACTGCTCTTAGGGTCATCAGTCATCACTATGTACATCAAAACTAGCAGTCCCTTTTCTCTTACTTGATCTCTCAGCAGCATTCATCACAGTTAAGATTTTACTCTCTGGCCTGGCTCAGTGGTTGAGCATCCAGCAATGAACCAAGAGGGCACTTGCCCAGGTTGTGGGCTTGATCCCTGTAGGGGGTATGCAGGAGACAACAAATTGATGTTTTTCTGTGTATATCCCTCTCCCTTCCTCTCTAAAATAATTAAAATCACACAAAAAAGATTTTACTCTCTCCCAGAATAAATTTTACTTTTCTTCTTAGGCTGTTTCTCAATCTCCTTTGCTAATTCCTTCTCTACTCAATCTTGAAATGCTACAGAGCCTTAGGGCTCTTAGATCCTCTTTAGGCCTCTATCCACACACTTTCCCTAGGTAACTTAGTCAAATCCATGACATCAAATCTGATCCATATCATGGTGACTCATTTCTGTAATTCTGGCCTATACCTCTCCCGGAAAACAGCAGCCCAAACTGAACATGGCCAAGACAGAAAACTTGCTTTCCCTTCCCACGCCCCCCAAACCACTATTCTCTAGTCAGTGAACAATACCAGCCAACTCCTCAAGCAAAAATTCAGTTACATTGATTCTTCTTTCCCTCACCTACTCACTCCTACTGACTTTCTCCAACACATCCCATATCCATCTAGTTCCGACCACCTCTAGTACTCCCATCCTTGCCCATTATTAAATCTTGCCTATGTTACCATAATAGTCTCTAAATTTTCCACTTCTTCCCTAAAATCTTCCACACAACAGATAGAGTGATATTTTTTAAAATATAAATTAGTCAGTGCTTCTCAGTCTGGGAAGATTTTGCCTCCAGGGTAAATGTCTGAAGATGCCATTAGCTGTCCCAACTAGATGGGTGCTGCTGGCATTTAGGGGGTAGAGGCCAGGGATGCTGCAAAAGGACAGTCCCTCACCACAAAGAATTATATGGCCCCAAATGTCAATAGTGCCAAGGTTAAGAAATCCTAGCTTACCTCATTCCTCTCCAGTGTTACAGTGTGGAAACAGAGGGGTGCTGAAACAGCTGAATCTGAGCCTCTTCCTCAGGGCCACACCCCCACCTATTGGCATGGGAACTGCTCAGGGGAAAAGGCAGCCCTCTTCTATTTTACACTTTTCAGTGGCTTCCAACTTTACACAGATTAAAATACAAACTCCTTATCCTGGCTTACAAAGCCAACTATGACCTGGCCCCTGCCTGCTTTTCTCTATCCCTACCCACTGTGCTCTAGCCAGTCTCCGAGTTTGCCAAATGTGTTCTCCAGCTCAGCCGTGGACAAACTATGGCCCGCGGGCAGGATGCGGCCTGTTTGAAATGAATAAAACTAAAAAAAAAAAAAAAAAGACCGTACCCTTTTATGTAACGATGTTTACTTTGAATTTATATTAGTTCACACAAACACTCCATCCATGCTTTTGTTCCGGCCCTCCGGTCCAGTTTAAGAACCCATTGTGGCCCTCGGGTCAAAAAGTTTGCCCACCCCTGCGTGACTAGCTGTTTCCAATGCCTGGAATGCTCTGGCACCTGATCGTTGGGTAGATAGCTCTTAGTCATCATTCAGATTTCAGCTGAAGTGTCAGCCCCTCAGACACCTTAGTTACCTGGTCACTCTCACATCACTTTTATTTCTCTTCAGAGCCCTTGCCACTATTCATTTGTGTATTTCCAAAGCTATAGTGTGGACTCCATGAAAGCAGAAACCTTTTTGTCTTCTTCAATGCCTGACTCACAGTTGGTGCTCAGTAGATGATAATGAATAACAAGTCAAGTCTGAGATGCTTATTATATAGCCAGGTGAAGATGTAGAACAGACAAATGGATATATCACTATGGAGTTCTGGGAAGAGATCAGGGTAGGAAATAAAATTTGAAAATAATGTGAGAGTAAAAACTACATCAAAACCATAGGTCTGATGAGATCACCTTGGATGAAAGCATAAAGAGAGTATTTGAAACCAACGTACCATTTATTGACCTGGGCAGTAGAGAAGGGGCTCAGAAAAGGGCCTGCCCCGAGGCCCTTCCTGGGGCTCCAACCTCTCCTCACCGCGGGACAAGCTTATCCCCGGCACCGCCCATTCTCGGCCGGCCTCTGCGCCCTGGGCCCCCACGCACCTCTGGGGGCTCCATCCTGGGGAGCGGCGACCCTCTTGGTTAGCGGGGTGCGCTTGGGTCCGCCGGCCTGGGTCTGCAGCCCATAGGAGAACTGCGGCGGGTCGTTCCAGCCGCGCTCCTTGTTGCCTGCAGGGGGGAGGGCGAGTGTAAAGCGAGCCCAGGGGAGCCGGAGGGCCCGCACCCCACGCCGTCACCGCCCCCGGCCCGGGCAATGGGAGACTCAGCGCCCCCAGCCCGCTGCCCCGCTCACCCGGCTTAACGTAAAGCTCCGCCATCTCCACTTCCGCACCGCCAGCGTGGCAGGGTGTCACTTCCGGGGCGGGCGCACGTCCGAGCCACGCCCCTCCCGACTGGCTGCGGGAGACCGCCCGGTAGGACGGCCGTTCTGGGCGGCACCGGCGGCGGCGGCACCGGTACCCGCTCTTTAAGGGTCGGGCCTTGAACTCAGGGCACCTAATGCGGTTGTCTCCCAGGAGGCGGCGCTATCGGAGCCCGCCTACCCTCAGTCTCTGGACCCACGGGCGCTCTCTGGAGCAAGTTTAAACGGCCAGAAGCCCGCCCGCCCACATGCTCCCCTGGGACCCAGCCAGGTAGACTCAAGCATGTCAAACTCGCCGCGGCCCAGCTACTATAATGGTATGTAAGAAATGTTTTAATAAAAATTTCATAACTTAATTTTTACAATATCCTGTTATACATAATCTATATATACAAAAGCCTAAGCGACTGTCCTCCGACTGGCCAGAACCAGAGAGGGAGCCCGATTCCAGGATGCCTCACCTGAGAACTGCCCTCTCGCAATCCAAGACCCCCTTGGGGGATGTCAGAGAGCCGGTTTTGTCCAATTCCCACAGGCCAGGCCAAGGGACCCCACCGGTGCACATGCACCAGGCCTCTAGTTATTAATAATGAACTATAACGTCCGCTAATGACTGATTACTATAATTGTGTTGCATTCATTTCCCTTACACACCTTACGCGCCGGCGCACCATCTCTCCACTAACACTAGCAGCAAATATTTTAGCAGCAGATTGCCGAGTCATTAGTCTTGTACTGACTGACTTGTTTGGTGTGCGCAACAGGAAATATTTTGCTTTCAGAGAACAAGAAAAATAGGTTTATTTGCATTACGCTTATTAATTTGTGCAGCTATTCAGTGTCTGGTAAGTTAATGTTCAAGAAAAATATTAAATTTTTAAAAAATATTCTTATTTTATGTTAATAATTACTCATTTATTTCAGCCCTTTGTAGTCAGCATGTCTATCGAAATAAACCTATGTTTCTATGAAAATTGAAGCTTTTGTTTTTTTGCAGCCCACATAATCTTAAAACTTATTTGGCCCATGTTAGCCTTTGAGTTTGACATGCTTGCTCTAGAACCTCACCTCTGACCACTGCCTCTACACATATATTCTAGGTTTGATTACTAGTACAAAATTCCTTCAGTACTCAGATATCAATTCATCAGGAAGCCTAGTATATCCTGCTTCAGGCCAGGTTGTGTCTCGTCTGAGCTCCCACAACCCTCTGAGATTTCCTAGTTGTACTATATACTATCTCCTATTTTGTTCTTCTTCCTCCTTGTTAGTCTCAGAAAGTGGAAACCCTATTTTATCCCCAATGCTTAGTTTAGTGCCTGGGATAGAGAAGACATTAGCAAATATATTTATTGAATGAAGTCAGATCTCCATCACACCCATGCCCTCATGTGACTATAGGCAGCCACCAACACCAAGCACAGACACAAACACCCACTTCATACAGGTTAACCCCCAATCCTGTCCCAGGCCCAGTATACTCACACTCAGTGAGGTCACTGAGGGATTTTTATTTGTACTTATTTTGCTATAAAGTGTTGCTGAGGTAGAGCCAACTGTCCAAAGCTGGCAAGGAACACAGGGACCCAGGGAAAGGAGAGCCAGAGTCCTAGGATGTGGTGCAGGGCCTCTCAGTTATCCATATAAACAATTAATAAATTGGGCAATAAATATACAGGGTGCACAAGGTTGGAGGGACAGGCAGAGAAGGTTCCAAAGGTGAGAGGCTACATGTCCCTGGGGAATGAAGGAGTACAGAGTTGGGCATGGACCCAGAGCCTCGTTACCCTGGTCCTCCCAGATCCATTTAGGACATATGGAGCAGAGAGGGTTTCAGTCGAAAGGCATCCAGAAAAGAGAAGATGCCCCGCTTTCGAGGGGCAGCCCCTGCACCTCCAACCCCACCTTTGAGTAGGGGGAGAGGCAGGGGACCTCCTGGGGAGTCCACAGAGCTGGTCCGCTTGAGTCGCAGGCGGGCACGGGCCTGGGCACCCCAGGCCTTGCCTCGAGATGCAGAAGCCACAAGACACTTCTGGTACTGAACCTAGGGAGAATGGGTATGTGAGGATCCAGCTCCTTTCTGCCTCGGACTCCCTGAGCGCTTCTGCAGGGCAGGGGACTGGCCAAGGTTTCAGTTTGATATGAGGCTCGTAGTCCACCACATCTACAGCATTCCCAGGTAGCTCAAGAACAAAAACAACACTTGACATTTACTGAGCATTTAAGGGGGGCTGGACACTGTGCTAAATGCTTTGTATAATGTAACAATCCAATTATTTATCAGGTGTTATCCTCATTTTACAAATGAGGAAATTGAGATTTAGAAAGAATGCATGACTTCCAGAGGTCACCTAGCCAAAAAATGGTAGAATTAAGATTCAAACCTAGTCTGTCTGACTACAGACCTGTGCTCTTAACCACACCTTACCACTATGTTGTCACCTTACCACTATGCTCGCTCTCGCTCTCTCTCTCTCTCTCTCTCTCTCTCTCTCTCTCTCTCTCTCTGTCTCTCTCGGACTAGCCCCTAGCAGAGTGGATTCCCTAGTCAAGGAGGTCTTCCACTCAAACTCCATTCCCCATGCAACTGCCCCAATCTTCTCTCATTTGAATTCAGCAGGGTCCTCAATGGTCTTCCTACTTCTTGTGTCTTCCAAATCTTTTACCAGTCTTCCTAATCTACAAACCTGATTTCACTGTCCAAAACTGTTCAAAACTTTTTAATGGCTCAGAATGCCTCCGGGCAAAATGAACTCATCCCCCTGACCTATAAGTTCTTTCATGACCTGGTTTCTGCCATTTTTTCTGCCCCCATCTGTCACTCCATCCCACTAGCACTCCAGAGACATTAGTCTCTCAGATACACTAACTAACATCTCTCACCTTCACAGCTGGAGTTCCCTGTACCTGGCATACCTTCTGTCCTACTCCTCCTCATGTAGCTAACTTCTTCCTTGGACCTTCAGCTCTCCACTTCCTAACACCTCTTACAGGGAGACTTCTTGAACCCCTGAACGGACCTTCTCCTCCATTATCCTGTAGTGTACAACTTCTTTCTGGTCTGTCTCTGCTTTAACCTAAGGCCATGCCCTCTATAATACTGAATTCCCAGGGTCAGGTATGGTCCCTGCAGGCATTCATATATTTGTTGAGTGAGTAAAATGAAGAGTGAGAACATTCCACATTTAAAAGCCCACAGATACCAGGAAATAACCTAAATGAAAAAAAAAGGAAAGACAATGCCAACTGATAGGGCAGCCCCTACACAATTCCAGCCCAATGTTGAAATGCATGCACAATTCTGACAGTTTAAGAAAAACAGGAATAGCAATTATTGTGTGAAATGTCCTGGCAACTCATTAAAACTTATTCAGAAGAGCATGAAGGCCAAATAAAATACTAAGAATCATGGTCAACCCTGGTATCAACGGTTTGTGATTCTGGAAAGGCTGCCAATCTTGAGCCCCAGTCACCAGTACAAAGCAGCTGCAGGGCCACCCCACCCACCATCCCACCCCTAACTCACCATGCAAGCAGCCTGCACAGCTTCGGAGAGTCCCCCTGCATGGGGCTGGCACCAGAAGGCTGCGCACTGGAAGCTCTGACGGCCCAGGTCAGCAATGAGGCCAAAGGTGTGCGGGTCACGGCCGACACCAATAAAGGTCACCAGGCGCACAGGGCACTGCCATAGCGGCTCCTCCTCCGCATCAGCCTCTGCCTGCCCACACCAGGCCTAGTCACTAGAGGGCTCGGCACAGGTGGACCCACTGAGCTCTTTCCTAGAGCAAGCCATGATACCCAGCATCCCTGCCCCCCCACCACACACACACACAGCCCAACGTCACCTTCTGGTACCTGAATGGGATGTGCAGTCATGAAAGAGTCAGACACACTGAGCATGGAGGGGACCCAGGCATCCCGGTCCCCTCGGGTGGTGAGGATACCAATGGCCTCGTTCAGCACATCCATTCCTGGGGGGACATACCCACTATGGTGTCTCCCAGACATAAGAAGGAAGGAATCTGCAGGGCGTGTCTAGGCCCCTCTCCCTGTCTTGGAATTCAGAGAGATGAGAAGAGAACACCTGGGGCTGGGCTTAGAATCCTGAGTTGGGAAAGGTGGTACATCCAGGCCATACAGGGCCATGGAAGCACGCTGGGAAACGTAGATCCCGCCTCACCCACCTTCCCCTTGCCTTAGCAGCCCACCACTCCCTCCAGCCCACTCAGTCCTCACCCATGGCTTTGGTGACTGGCAGGGTCCCCATATACAGTGCCTGGTACTTCTGAGCAGCTTGGCTCACTGCATCCAGCAGCTCCGCTGAAATACACACAGCCTGTTGGCCTGCATGCTCTCTCAACAACCCCTCTCCCCAGCCTTCTGAGAGAGCTGGAGCAAGCAGAAGATAGAAGAAAAGACCATGGATGTGCCTCCAATCCAGGGCTTGGATTCCTGGAACCAGAAGTCCCATATCTCCAAGGAAGTACTAAGTAACCAGGACCCCCTCCCATCTTTCACTAAAATAGTCTGTGGCTGCAACACAGGACCTCCCTCCCCATACCTTGCCTCGGCAGATCTTCAGGGGAGATGGTGTCTAGGGAACAACAAGGGGAATCACCACTGACCCCAACTCGCTCTGACAAGATCTGAAACAAAATGCAGCTGGCTTGAGGCACAGGGAGAAGGGACTTGAGGTAAGGGAGTCCCAACCCCCCTGGCAGCTTCACACCCAGCTCCATCCCACATTCCCTACCCCACTCCTGGCCCTTACCTGAGCACAGAGCCCATGTAGGGCACTGGCAATGGCCTTGGCAGGGACATCACAGCGAAACACATGGCACTTGAGCATACAGCTGTCTTTGTCGCCCGCCACAAAAGCGAAGTCCCTGGCAGGTCAGAGATGGGGCTGGGGTAGAGACTGGGTAGGGGCAGTCTGCAGAGGCTAGAAAGTCAGGCAAGGGATATGGAAAGGATGGACAGGGAAGTCAGGGCTGGGGCTCAAGGCACCTGGCTGTCACTCACCTATCACTGTTCCGGAAGCATGTGGGAGCACAGGAGAGAATCAGCTCAGCCTCTCAGGCTCTCCCCCATCTGTCCCCGCTGAGCTGGGCCCACCCTCCCCAACCAGGGCTGCACCAGGCAGGGAAGGCAGAGCTTGGATCCATGTCAGAGGATCTGTGTCCAAGGGTTTAAGTACAAGGGATCAGCATCAGTGGGGAGCACAGCCTGCAGTCGGCGCAAGGAGCAACTTTCACTTGAGGGGATGTTGGGGTCCTCACCGGCCCTTGGAGCTGCCCACACCCCATACACGGATGTGCACCAGAGGCTGGCAGTGGATCAGACTGTGGTCCAGGGGATTCACCAGGCTCATGGCATCCTTCTTCAGGATCATTAGCATGTTCTGGCCCTGCCAAGGACAGAGGGCAGCACAGAGCTCAGATGAAGGTGGTTGCCATGGGGAACAGACAATTCAGAGACAACCACCTCTACTGGACCCTGAGCTGAATCCTTGAAGGGCTGGCTAGCTCACCTCGCCCCAGGCACCAGCTGGGGGCTGGCTCCGGCTGCGGGTCTGGGCCAGCTGCTGGATGCAGTTACTGACCGCAATACTGCTCTTCCCTGGTACCAGGTCCTCTTCGGGTACCTCTACCCAGCCCAGAGAGCGGACTGCAAAGCACTGACAGGTGAGGAGAAAGGACAGAAGGGCCCCAAGTGAGTAGAGGTGGAGCAGGGTAGATGCCACAGGCTACACCCATACAAACCCTCTGATACCCCCTCCCTTGATCATCTCTGCTCAGCCCAATCCCACCCCTGACCTTTCCCTTGGGGCCTTCCACAATGCCATGGGCTGGCCCCCAGGCCCAAGTCACTACCTTAGCCCCTGGTTCCATGCTCTGGATGTAGGATTCCTCACCATACCAGGACAGAGAGTTACTGGAACAGAGCAGAGCTGGTAAGGGACCACACTTCCTACAGAAGGGACACTGGTGAGGCACAGACTACTTAATAGGCAAAACGTGTGGGATAAGACCCAGAATATAAAGTCCCAAATATAAAACCAGAGCAGGGAGGCCCCAGGACATATTAAACAAGTGTAACATAAAGAGTATGACTTAGAATCTGAGGAAAAAATCAGGGCACAGGCCATAGAATAAAAGTTGTAAACATAGAGCAGGGTTCAAAATGTGAGCCAGAGCTCCAAATGGGGATAAGAGACCCTAGAACACAGGACAGTGCCCAAGGTCCAGAACACGGTAAGTCAGGACGCAGCATACGGAAAAAAACATGTGGCAAAAGACAGAGCTTGGAACTAGACCAAAACTCAAAATACTGAGTCAAAGCATGAGTCAGAGTTCAGAACCTGGGCTGGAAAGCAGACTGTGGATCCAGCTGCATCTCTGAGGGCCATGGAACCCCCTGGCCGGCCTGGCCTATCCCTGTTACCTCCGGTCCAGTGAGCTCTCCAGGCTGGAGAAGGATCTCCCCTTGGGGGGCCGAAGTCCCCAAATCCCTTCCGGCCTCTGCAGAGAGGGGGCCAAGTCAGTGTAGCAGCAGGCTAGGTCCACACATGGGCTCAGGCCCCCTCCTCACACTCCACCTACCGTGCCTGGCTCCTCTGCATCTCCTGGCTCCCAGGTTGGGCGCTGCCACTGGGTACTACCGCTTGGTACGTGCCAATAGTAAGTACCTGCAGCATCGTGGATCTTTCTCCAGCCAGGGGGCAGGCCCGGCTCTCCCTCCAGACTCTGGTCCCCCCACAAGTCATCTACAGGAACACGGAACGAGGAGGGGGAACACAGGATTGGAGAAGGAGGGCATATTTGTGGATGCAGAATAACACCTTGTCAACCCTTATCCTGGAGGTCCAGGTAGACGGTCCAGGCTCCCAATCTTGGATATTATTACAGTGCAAAGATCAGGGTTCATTTGTACCCTGGTTCTCACCCCAGGACCTACCCTCCTCCCTGAGTTTGAGCCTTGGGGTAGCCCTTCACCTTCCCTCTTCCCCTCTCAATTCCCGGTCCTCCCTCCCATCGGACCCCTCCGTGCACACCATCGCAGTTGACCAGAATTATGGCCAGCATATAGTCCTTGCCCAGCATAGCCCCGACCGCGGCCCCGCCGGCCTCTGCCGGCCTGCACTCTCAGCCCAGCTCGACCTCTGGAGCTGCTGCGCCGACAAGCCCAGCCTCTCTGCGCCGGAGTCACCGGGCCAGCGGACGCCACACAAATACGGGGCGGAGCAGGGGCCGTCCCGGGGTTGAAATATGACGGGAGGAGCGGCGCTGCTCGCCGAGAGGTGGCGCACGTAAACAGGCGTCTGGATCCCCAAGTGGGTGCGCGGTTCGGTGTGGGCGCCGGGGGAGGGGCGCCGAGGCCAGCGCACCAGCCGACACCACCACGCAACTGTGAGCTCAGCAAGCGGCGGGTGACCCACCAGGCGAAAGTGCGCGGGGCGCTCACGCGCACCAGTGACAGCAGCACGCCCAGGTCGTGCGCGCGCACGCGCAGCTGAGACCCGAGAGGAGGAGTCACGTGGGAGTACCTGTGGGCAGAAGACCGCCTGAGCTCCGCTGCCAAGAAAGCGCCTCCGGCCCAGCTGGCCCGGCTCAGGGCTGAGCGTGGACCTATGAACCAGGAGGTTACCCTCGGATTCCTGGTCGGAGCACATGCCCGGTTGCAGGCTCCATCCCTAGTGTGGGGCCTGTAGGAGGCAGCCAATCAATGATTCTCTCTCATCACTGATGTTTCTATCTCTCTCTTCCTCGCTGAAATAAAAATATATTTCTATATACATTTTTTAAAAAAATTTTTTAAGAAAGCGCCTCCAACCTTTCAAAAAAATCTCCCGGAAGTGCCTCCGCCCTCAGTAATGATGGGCACTTGGTATGAGGGAGGGGAGGCGGGGCTGCGCCTGCGCAACAAGCTCCACGGGGGAAGATGGCGGATGACAAGGTGAGTGACCATGGGGTGGTCTGCAGTCGGCGTGGTATCCACACCTTTTCAGTCCCGGGGAAAGACAACGCGTGGGTGAGATGCCGCTTGCTTTCCCTGGGGGTGGACTTGTGCTCACGCCCGCGGCAGAAGCGTGGAGTAGATGGGCGGAGCACTCCAGGGGGCAAGCAGCTGAGGAGCCAGGGTGCCCCTCTGGGTCCATCGCAGTACCTAGTTTCTCACATTCAAACCCGTCCGCTCTGACACTCTCCTGACTCTGCTCCATTCCCTAGCCCTGGGAATGTGCCCTCCCAGAGACACCTTGTTTCCGATTCATACTGACACACCCTCATTCAAACACTCGCTGGCACACACTGAAGTTCATACTTTATGCGTCAGAATCTCTCAGTGCATTGACCCATACTCCTCCAGACAGCCGTGCCCCGCCCCTGCCACCTCCCGCGAGCATGCAGAGGCACACATTCAGTTTGGGGTGGCCTTGGGGGAGAAAGCGGGGGAAGCCCGGGCAGAACCCAGATTTACCTCCAAACTGTCCAGGGAGCTGCCTTGGGCCATTGTTTACCTTTGACCTGAAACTCAGCACCACTCGCACATTTACTGAGTACTTGCTAGTCCCTGCATTAGGACTTGGGACTTAGTAGACAAGACAGACTGGTCTCCACTTCCACATAGCTTATAGTCAAGTCATTAGTATTTTCCTGATTGATCTAATTAGCTGCCCTTCCCGCTTTCCCTACACACTGCTTACTCTATGAAGTTCCTGTAAGTTACTGATGCACATCCCATCTGTCACCCCCTCCCTGGCCCCAGTGTGAATTCCATCCTTTTCAATGCCCTTTTTTCCTTTACCAGTGTCATCTCAGGAAGGTATTTATGTAAAGAGATTTCTCAGGCTCAACCCATCCCACCTCCTCCCCAGCCTCTGATAGACTGGAGCAGGGGATGGGGCTAGGTCAGTCTGCTGGAGCCAGTCTCTCCCTTTCCGTAGGACTCTTTGCCCAAGCTTAAGGACCTGGCCTTTCTCAAGAACCAGCTAGAGCGCCTTCAGCAGCGTGTGGAAGACGAAGTCAGAAGTGGTGTGGGCCAGGTAACGCTGCATCTGACGCCACCCCCTGTAGGCTTCATTGCCCGATATGCTTTTGAATGGGTGGTAGAGATTTATTCAGCAAATGCTTATTGAGGGCCTGTTCTCTGTGACTTCAAGGAAATTTTCCCTGAGAAAATGGCACTTGATCCGGGATCTTAAATAGGGGTTAACTAGGTAAAGGGGGAGGAGGGAACATTCCAGGCAGATGGAACAACATATGCAGTGTTGTTGTGGTGGGAAGTAGCATGATGAGCGTGGAGGTGAAAGCCGTTCAGTTTGGCCGCAGTAGTGGGTGAGCATGCTAGGAAATGAGAAGCAAGCGGGGTCAGGTTCCTCTGTGGCCTTGTGGCAGTAGGGTTCTGTGTGTGGAGCCTCCTAGCCCCAGGGTTCTGAGATTATGTGATCAGAACTCCTAGGTTATTTTTCTGCCTCCAGAACCTTGAGAAAATCTTTGTAGAGCGTACTACAACTTTCCAGAGTAAGAAGGAGCAGGTGATGGGATGCTCTCAGCCAGATCAAGTAGCTCCTGGCTAGAGAAGGGGAGAACCTACTGAGTTTCCTCCTGAATCTTTTTCCACAGGATGGCTCGCTCTTGTCCTCCCCATTCCTCAAAGGCTTCCTGGCTGGCTATGTGGTGGCCAAACTGAGGGCATCAGCGGTATTGGGCTTTGCTGTGGGCACCTGCACTGGCATTTATGCAGCTCAGGCATATGCTGTGCCCAATGTGGAGAAGACAATAAGGGACTATCTGCGGTCGCTGCGGAAAGGGCCCGACTAGCTCTGGGTCCTGTGGGGGAGGCAGGATGAGAAGCTGGGGCCTGCAGGTGGAGGCCTTTCGACCACAGACACCATATCTGGCTTCCCTGGCTGTCACCCAATTACTGTCTCCAAGTTTCCTGCCTCCTTCATCCTTGTTTCCCTTCCTGCAGAGGGTGGGTAGTGGCTCATCAGCCAGTATCCTCCATACCTCCTTCCCTCCCTGACCCAATGGGACTGATCCCAAGACTGTGGCTTCTAAGGCCACCAGACCTTTCCCACCCTAAGTGTGGAGTTTGCAGCTGACGTACCACAGCTCCTGCCTCCTGGGAGCCAACTCCATATCTTGATTCTCCTCAAATGTGTCACATCCTCACTGCCCCTTGTTCGTTACACAGGCCACCCAGGGTCTGATGTGGGCATGAGTGTAGAGGACGGGGGAGTGCCAGGCCTGGGCCGTCCCAGGCAGGCCCGCTGGACTTTGATGCTACTCCTGTCCACTGCTATGTACGGTGCCCATGCACCATTGCTGGCACTGTGCCATGTGGATGGCCGCGTGCCCTTCCGACCCTCCTCAGCTGTGCTGCTGACCGAGCTGACCAAGCTACTGTTGTGCGCCTTCTCCCTCCTGGTAGGCCGGCAAGCATGGCCCCGGGGGGCCCCGCCATGGCGCCAGGCTGCCCCCTTTGCACTACCAGCCTTGCTCTACGGCGCTAACAATAACCTGGTGATCTATCTTCAACGATACATGGACCCCAGCACCTACCAGGTGCTGAGCAATCTCAAGATTGGAAGCACGGCCCTGTTCTACTGCCTCTGTCTCCGGCGCCGCCTCTCTGCACGCCAGGGCTTAGCACTGCTGCTGCTGATGGCAGCGGGGGCCTGCTATGCAGCTGGTGGCCTCCAGGACCCTGGGAGCACCCTCCCTGGGCCCCCTCCAGCAGCTAAGGCTGGCCCCATGCCCCTGCATATCACTCCACTAGGACTGCTGCTCCTCATCCTGTACTGCCTCATCTCAGGCTTGTCCTCCGTGTACACAGAGCTGCTCATGAAGCGACAGCGGCTGCCCCTGGCACTGCAGAACCTCTTCCTTTACACGTTCGGTGTGCTCCTGAATCTAGGTCTGCATGCAGGTGGCGGCCCCGGCCCAGGCCTCCTGGAGGGCTTCTCAGGATGGGCAGCGCTCGTGGTGCTCAGCCAGGCACTGAATGGACTGCTCATGTCGGCTGTCATGAAGCACGGCAGCAGCATCACACGCCTCTTTGTGGTGTCCTGCTCGCTGGTGGTCAACGCCGTGCTCTCAGCGGCTCTGCTGCGGCTGCAGCTCCCAGCCGCCTTCTTCCTGGCCACTCTGCTCATTGGCCTGGCAGTGCACCTGTACTATGGCAGCCACTAGCCCCTGACCACCTTGACTCCTGACCCTGGAGGTTGGGCGTTATCATCAGAGCCACCTCCTAGCTCCCTTTCCCTCAGCAGCCCTGTTACAAGTGCCTTGTGAGAAAAGCTGGGGAAGTGAGAGCAACCAGATGGGTGGATGAAGGTGTACCCCTGAGAGACTTGTAGAGTGGGTTTTCTTAGGAAACTGGAAATTCTTAAACATCACCCTCCCATCCCCCCCGCCCCCAAGTTCTTCCAGACTAGGGAACTAAGGGAGCATCATACCTACACCTGAGAAATGACCCCGTCTCTGATGGAACAGGTTCCCTGTCTTATCCTGCATGAATGCAGTTGCCCCCTTCCCCGCCCCCATCCTACAGGAAAGCCCAGTTGCCACAGATTCCACACCCATCACCTTGGCCATTCTGAGCTCCTGCAGCTCCAGCGTTGCCTGGAGACAGTACATCCCTGCTCCCTCCACAGAGCTGCTCTCCACACCCAGCCTTTGTTCTGGAAACCCCAGAGGGGCTGGGGCTTGGCTCATCTCAGGAACTGTTTCCCCTGGGCTCTGGCTTATACTCCTGATCTCTCTACTCACCCAAAGACCCTCTTGAAGCCCAATGCCCCCTCTACAGCTAGGAGTTACTGTTCTAGGTCATGCCCCTGCCTAGCAGTGTCCCACCTCCCAACAGCCACAGAAGCTCTGCACAGAGTGACCTGGGACCAGCACAGGGAAACGTGTATAGCTCAATGTCAGACTGCATAAGCAATAACATAAGGTCTTAATAAAGCATTCTGGAGTGTAGGCGATTCCTACAATCAATCATGATTGTCTTGTGTCTTCTGTGTTGCATAGCTCCTCTCCAACAATTTCATTCCCCTGGTGCCCTTAGTATCTTAATCCTGGGGTAACATACTGGTAGACTAAGAGAAAAGGCTGTTTTCTCCCTCGCTGTTGCCAGAAGCATTATTTCCTCTGAGGGTTCCATGGAGCCAAGACTGTTCTTGGTCACAGAACTTTTGAAATTTTCCTGAAGCATAAATCTTGGGTGCTGGGGAATTTGGAAGCATCTTGGGACTAGAAGACA